CGCGTTTGTTCGTGATTGACTGCTGCTGGGTGACACTCTGCATCCGTCGGTGGATGCGATTGGCGTTTTTTGAAGTGGACATATTTTTGGTACCCAAACCGATGAATGGCTTCCTTGACAGCAGCCGACGCACAACGAATGAACCTGCCGCTGTCATGGATCTCTTTCTCTCCCTCGGCTCGTCTGAGCCCTCTCCCCCAGTAGCCGGCCTCCTCCACGCAATCATGGTCCCAGCCAGGGTCCGCCTCCGCACGGGCGACATGAGCTGCTGGAGACAGAGCGAGGCGAAGGTCGCCGAGCCAACAGCAAAGCTAGGCGAAGGGCGGGAGACATGTCCGTGTGGGTGTGTGAGGCATTATCCATCCACGCCTCTCGTCGGTGTGTGTATTGTCCGCTGTGTGCCCGTGGGAAGGGAGGGGAGGGGAGTGGACTGACCTGACTTGATATCGATTGATCGATGTGCGGCGCAGGCCTGATGGATGGATGGATGGATGGATGGCATGTTGATTGATGCATTTATTAGTGGGCCGGGCCTCTTTGTATGTATGTATACATGTCGGGGGGTGGGGTGTGAATGACCTTACGTACGTTGGGTTGGTGGGTGTCAATCGATCAATCAATCAAATCACGTCCCCTTGAATGGATAATGAATGAATGGCGTGTCTGTCCAACGTGCACCCACCATCCATCCACCCACACATCATCCGCACGGATGGTAGTAGTAGTACTAGTAGTATATGAGTATGTTTGTGTATGTGTGTGTTGATTGATACGCGAGCAGGGACACGCACCACAAGCCGGTCGACTCGATGGATGTGATGTGATGTGCACACACCACCTTACCTCACACAATTAAGGCACTCACCAACGGCACGCAGCCGATATATAGATAGCTAGACAGACAGACAGACAGACAGCCGGGCAGCCAGGCAGCTGGGACAAATTGACGCTCTCTCTCTGAATCTCTCTCGGCTCTCAAAGTGAGAAAAAATACACACGGACACGACACACGCATTCCATCCATTCACTCACTTTCCCACGCACGCACGCACCTGCAGGTCTGCATCCATCCATCCATCACGGTACGTCCGCACACACACACACCCGCGCCATGTAAAGATAGCTATAGATAGCTATAGATACACACACGCATTCACGCAGATACACACCACATCAGTCAGTCAGTCAGTCGGCGGCCGATGCATTCCGTCCGTTTGTTTATCGGAGCAGGCCGCCGTCTCTCTCTTACTCACTCACCTTACATACTTACCATACTTACTCACCGACCAGCACGCTCACACACACTGACTGGAGAGAGAAAAGTATCACGCGACACACGCCAGCCAAAAGTACGTCGTCAAGTCACACACTCACACCCGCCAGCCAGGCAGCCATCCATCCATCCGTCCCATCTGTCCACCCCCACTCAGTCAGTCAGTCAGTTGTTTGAAAGCATCGCATCCGTATGCATTTCGTACTCAGCCACTCCACACACACCACGACACACACACAGATAAAATAAGGGAAAGTTACAATACAGATAGACAGAGTATGTTATGTTATGATATGTAGAGAAAGGCAGGGTACTTATTCACGCGATCATCGACAACCACACACACACGCACACACAGCAACCAAGCCAGACAGACATTCCCATCTGCCTCTGTCAGTCTCTGTCTGTCTGTCTGTCTGGCTGTCTGTCTGTCTGCACGCCAGCTCGCCAGCCTTCCCGCCCGCCCGGCCGCAGCTGCCTGTCTGTCTGGTCTTGGGTATCGGCTCAGACATACATAACACACCGGCAGCCAAAGACCAGAGGCAAGGACGGCGGCCAGCGCGAATTCTCACTCACTCGTGTCGGTCGCTCGGTCGGTCACCCACTTACCAGTAAGTAGCTTCAAACACGGCCACGCACACCGCGATACTCGTACGTACGCTCGCAGATCGCACCGCCCCCTTCTGACTTAGGCAGGCAGGCAGGCAACTAAGTACCAGCCATCCATCCATCCATCCATGCATCCACTTGCAGCACACACATCCGTGCAGACAGACACGAAGGCATCCATCCATCCATCCATTCGCCTAGTCAATCGCAGAGCCACCCATTATCCCATCCGTCTGTCTTCCCCCAGCCAGCCATCCATCCCGCTTACGCATATACGCTTGGATGCATCGAAAATAACATTAACCAACAGCCACGACAGACAGGGATGGGATGGATGTGCGTATGTATGTGCGGACGTGACAGACAGAGTATGAGTGTAGGTAGCGTGGTCAGTCAGTCATTGGTTTCTTCGCTTCTTGCGTTTCTCCTCGCGTCGCCTTTCCTCCTCAGAGCTGTTGTCCTCCTCCTCAACGTCGATCCAGTAGTCACGAGAATACCTACCACACACAACACACACACACACAATACACACACACACGGAATGAATGAATGATGCGTCTGTGTGTGTGTGGATCTGCGTGTGTGTGTGTGCGTACCCAACGAATATCTCCTCGGCTGGGTGGATGTCCTGCAGGGCCTTTATGAACAGGCGCGTGCGACCCTGCACCACACACAGAGAGAGAGAGAGAGGGATGTCCGTGGGCTGGGGGTGTCACATGTGCGTGTGTCGATGTGGACCTGTTTGTGGTCGAACATTTTGAAGAACTTGGAGTTGTTGCCCGGCGGCGGCATGCGGCCCTGAGGGGTCTCCTTGGTCTGGCTGCCGTCGTTGGCGAACGAGCCGCCCCCAATGAAGGGCTTCGGCTCCTTCTCACTACAAAACACACACACACACACACACACACACATATAGACCCACGTGTCACAGAAACAAGACTCTGCTGTCTGTGTGTGTGTGCGTGTCTGTCACTGACCCATCGATGTAGAAGAAGGGTTTTTCGATGTCGGCGATGTGCGTGGCCTTCCTGCACACACACAGGGGAGGGGAGGGGAGGGTGCATACGCGTCTGTGTGCTGGCATGCATTCATTCATTCATCCATTTGTGCGTGCGCACCTCTCCCTGCGAAGGCGCATGGCCTCGTCGCGGTCGATGATGTACCCCACGAACTCGGTGATGATCGAATTCTTGGCAAAGAAACTGATTGATCAACATGACCACACGTGTGCAGACACAAGAGTACTTGTCGGTGCCAGCATAGACAAGTACCGGTCAGCATAGAGCCCCAGGCCGGCATGTCGGCCGAGTGTGGAGCGCTTCGTGTACACGCCATCGCACAACGTAGCCTGCTCGACTCGATCGATGGATGGACACACAGACAGACAGGACAGGGAGGGTGTGTGTGTGTGTGTGTGCATGGCTTCCGGTGTTGTGCTGGCGCGTCCTGCTGTGTGTATGATACCAGTTTCTTTTCGATTTCTTCTAGGCCTTTGTAGCTCTTCAGAGAAGCCCTCCTCTTCTTGCTGGTCGTGGCCTCTGCACACACACACACACACACACATATATGCGGACAGATCGCCTCACGAATGAATGGATGGATGGCTGAATGTGTACACACCCGATTCGTCCGATTCCCTCTTCTTCGAGTCGTCCACAACCTCAGCCTCCTCACCCTGACACACACACATCACACACCATCATACGGCACGGCGCCACACACACACACACACACACGCGCCGCCCTGTCCTCCATTCTGACATCCACCCACCCTCACCCTCTGTCTAGCGGATCGCCTGAGCCCCTTGCTATTGCCGCTGCTGTCCCCCCCACCCCCCCCACCAGACGGTTTGCCCGACTGGCGAGGCTTCGGGGGCGGCGGGGGCGGCAACGGGTTGCGAGTGCGGCCCGAACGAGCTGTTTGTACCACACACAACACACAAGATGAAGATGGTGCACCTGAGTTGGCTTCTTGCGTGCCGTGGCGTACAGTACTGACTGGTGAATTTGTTTTTCTTGATGGGCGGCCATACGGGGTTCTCATTGACATTGACGAAGTAGTTCATGCCCAGCTGCCGACGCATCTTCCTGCACACACACACACACACACACACGACACGTGGATACCACCCACCGTGTGACTGACCGCAGTAGGTACCTACCTGATGTGGTCGATCTTCTGTTTGTTGGTCTCATCGACAGACAGCAAGCCTTCTGAACACACATACACACACATGTGAGACGCCGCCCGTGTCTCTGTCTGTCTGTCTGTGTGGCATTGGTATGTTTGCAAACACCGCACCCACCCTGGTCCTCGCCCTCGCAGCAGTCATCCATGCCCAAATCCTCGCTGGCCTCACCGCGACACACCTGAGCGGTGAGCGAGACACACATGCCATGCACCCACACGTACAAATCCCGCGCGTGTGTCCCACAGGCTCACGAGTTCACCTCTCGGTCGCTGCCCCCCTGGGTGCTCTTGCCATTGGCCTGCGTCGAGTCCTCAGACGGAGACGACACCTTCTTCAACACACCAACACCAATACCAGCACCAGCACCGCTACGCTTGGCCACCACCCTGTTACGATCAGCACGGTTGGCACGGTCGGAACGCTCCCTGTCGTCCTCCTCGACCACACACACGTCCATCGCGTCATTGGCGGCATTGGCCGCCGCACTGCTGTTGCGGCGCGACGACCGCTGTGTGTGCTGGACGGGGGGCACGGGCGGCGATCGGCCGGCTGCGGGAGCCGTCTTGGCTTTGCCGGCCCCGGCGCCCTTGCCCTTGTGCTGCTGCTGCGATGAGGACGATGTAGTGGTGCGCTTGTGCGCGGGGGCAGACGCCGAGAAGCGATGCAGCAGCGCACGAGTGCGGTCGCTGGGGAGAGAGAGATGACAACACAGGGAAGGAAACAAGTGTCTCGGTGGTTGGTCAGGATGTTCGTGTGTGTGTGTTCGAGGTATGTGTGTGTACCTCATGGCTGCTGCTGCCCTGGCGGCAAAGGTGCCGATGGACTCGGGAAGCTGAGACGTAGGAATCGTGGGAATCAGAGGGGGGGACAGGAGAGAGGAGAGAGAAGAAACAACCGACCGCAATCCTACAGCACCAACACCACCTGACACACGCAACAAACAGCACGGGAGGGAACGATGTGGATCAGATCATCATTCTCTGGCCTTGACACGGCTGTGGTGTCGCGATGTGCGGTTCTCCATCCATATAGCTGGTTCCTGGCTTACCCACTGGCTTGGCCTACCAGGAAGGACCGCTTAGCGTCCGACAGCGTCCAGACTACCACCTCCTGAAGACGCACCAGGTTGAACACCCACAGACACCCACAGATGAGGTCACTGCAGTGCATGCGCACCACAACGCCACCACACACACCCACACCTCTCCCTCTGCCTCCCTGACCATCCCGGGCGTCCTCCCTTGCCCTGTTCTCTCTCCCTTGGCCTCATCTCCCATTCATCACCGACCAGAGGCTTACTTGATCGATGTGCGACGCAGTCCTGTGGCATACCAGCCTTCCTACGTAGCCATGTCGTCCGCACCATCACCCTGGCTGACGCCAACCAACCCACACGCTCCGATCGCGAACAATTGCGAGCTTCGTGGTCAAGCGTGGCTTTCCCCTTTCTCCCTTTCCTTTGTGCGCTGGAGTGCCGTGTTGCCAGATCTATACGTCAGCAGGAAGGTGAGTGAAAGATCTCGGAAGAACGGTGCGGATCCCATGTCTTCAGCACTCTGGATGCTATGTGTGTGCAGTGAGGTGGTGAGGTGATCCCATCTATCTGTGAGGCGTGCCTGCCGCCTCGACACCAGCCAGCAAAAGATGGGCGTGCAGGGCAGCAAGTCAGCCAAGGCGGCACCGAGCCCGCGGTCGGCATCAACGACCCACACCGACAGCGCCTCCTCGGCGATGGACATGGTGCTGCCGCCGAGTGTGTGGCAGTACACACTCGCATTCGGCAGAGGCATGAACCAAAGCTGGAGCCGCATCGGGTGCGAGTCCTTGTGGAGATGGCTGCCCTACGTCAGAAGTCAGTGAGCATCTCGTTCTCTCACCCTCACACACAATAAGGGTGCTCTCTGTCTGTGTGTGTGACCGCAGTGCGGTTCCGAGATGCGGATCTGGAGCGTCAGTACCGAGTGCTGAAGAGGGAGGACACCCGTGAGTCGCTCAAGTCGCTGGGGGCCCTCCTGGCCCTGTCGATTGTCATCTTCTCGCTCATCCTGATCTACCAGCTGTCCAAGCGGGAAACCATCTACATCTTCTGGCTGCGCATGGCCGTCCCCCTGCTGACGTCGATCGTCATCCTGCTCTACGCCTGCTTCCATCGGCAGCTGGTCAAGCTGTACCTGTGTTTGGCCATGACCCAGGGAGACAGGGGCGAGTTGCTGGCCAAGATGGGCGGGAGTTCGAGCAGGCTGGTGGGGGCCATGGAGGGGGCGCTGCAGCCGTACTACAAGATGGAGTACCTCTGCACTTTTGCGCTCTTCATGGTGGTGACGACCACGGTGACGCTGCACGGGCACCTGGCCCCTATGCTGGGGAGGCAAGGCGTCTCGTGCATCGACAGTGTCGAACATGCTGTTGGGTCAGCAACACAACACGCAGGAAATGACACACACAGGCAGAGTGATGCAGCGATGGATGGATGGCTGGATGGATGGATGGATGGATCTGTGTGTGGGATGGTTGGGTGCACTGCATGTGATGTGTGTCACCGGTGTTATGCTGCAGGTCCGAGTTGGAGAATTGTGCGATGATGTGTTTGTGTTTCCTGGTGTTCAAGTGCGACGCCTTCGCCGCCTCACTGCTCATCCTCGTGCACCAAATCATTCACTACCTACGTAAGACACCACACCACACCCCCGTCGGCCCAACCACACACATACATAAACATGACAAGGCCAGCCATTGCTCCACTCCACACATGACCGATCTCGACGTCTGCCTCCCCTACCCTCCCCTCCCTTCCATGTGTGTGTGCATCCCATCCAACAGTTGATGGGATGTGGACGGACAAGTACTTCAGCTGCTTCTACCCAGGTCGGTAGTGTACCCAGTTGCGCAACAACTCAGAGGGAGGCAACACACACAGCGACCGAGTTGATTGCTGGGTGCGGTGCGTCGTGTCTTCCTTGGCTTGCCTGTGTGTGGGTGCGGTGCAGTGGTGGGCATTTTGCTGATAGCGGCTGCGAGACAGGTGGAGTTCTTCTACAGAACCGCATTCTACCAGGTCTGTGGGTCGCTCGCTGGGCGCGGCGCGGCAACACACACACACACCCCTTCTTCCCGTCCATCCATCCATTGTCTGTCTGTCTGTGTCTGTTGCCATCCATCCATCCATCCATGAATCAGACTGACAAGGTGAGCCGCGAGAAGGGTCAGCGGAGACGGCTGCTCGAGAGCTTCGCATTCATGGTCGACATCGCCGCATGGTCAGTCAGTCAGCCAGTCACTACCATACACACACAACAGTGCCCACCCGACCCGCCACACATACACACGACACGACGCGACATGGCGGACATGCAATCACCACAAGCTTTGTTGTTGTGGTTGGCTGGCGGGCTGGTTGGTGCGACGCGACGCAGGGAGTGGGACACGGCGGGGTCGATTCAGCAAGACTTCTACACCACTCGAGTCATCGAAGCCCTCACCATGCGCGCCAGAGACGACAGCCCACAGGCAGGGCAGGACAGGACACACACACCACACATAACATACATACCCCCTCGCTCTCCGTGTGTGTCATTGGCTTCATTCAGTACATGTACCCCAAGAAGGCGTTCGACCTGACGACCTATCCGACCCTGGCGCCCTCAGAGAAGTCAGTGAGCACGGCGGGCTGTGCGCTCAAGCCGTTCAGTAACGTGGTGGTGACCAAGCCCAAGAGCCAGGAGCGCACCTCCCACCTCATACGGCCCATCAAGTCGCACCTGCACCCCATCAAGGCTTCCGTCAAGCTGCCCATCAAGAGCTTCTCATCGCCACATGAACTCACCACTAATGGACACGCACACCGTGAGCAACGAGAGATAGAGGGAGAGACAGAGAAAGATATATATAGAGAGAGAGACCGTCCTTCATGTGTGTATTCTGTGGATGTGGGTCTGTGTGTGTGTGTCAGCTACTCCGCCCGGCTCGAATGAGGTCCGTTCGTCCGGGTCGACGTACGCGCTAGGTTCCAGCCACGAGCACCTGAACGTTCACCTGTCGTCGGGGTCGGTCCAGCTTACCCCCTCTCCCCTGTCCAACTTCCCCACGCCCCCCCTGGTGCCATCCGAGCACGAGTGCGACCACCACATCCACATCAACGTCAACAGCAGAAGCAGCAGGAACGACCTGACCACCCCCACCAACACGGGCGGCCATGGCACTGGCACCGGCAGCGGCAGCCAGGGCACCAACAAGACCACACCCAGTGACGGGGAGCGCACACCGCCCGCCACCCTCAGCATCAACTCCAGCGGCGTCAAGTCCAAGTCCAGCGGCGGGGCGGTCGCCGAGGAACACAAAAAATCAGACGGGTCCATCTCGGGGCTGCTGGCAGTCAGTTAGCACATAACATACATAGAGGGCGGGGCGCAATGCAACACACGAGCGATGGATGGATGGATGAATGCGTGTGGGTGAATGTGAATGGGTTGCCACCGTGTACACAGGTGCCCGTGAAGCCTGACATGCGCGAGATGGTGCCTCCGATCATTCCTGAGGAGCCGTCCATCACTGACGAGCCGCTGCCGGTGGGTGTGACGGCCTACAAGGCGGAGCACCGCCTAGACGGCTTCTGGACCAAACACGTCGTCATGGCCGACAGAAACAAGATCGAGCAGGCTATCATCAGATGCGCCGATGAGGGAGAGCCATACGACATGGAAGTGAGTCACTCAGTCAGTGAGTGATGTGGAGCTAGGCAGAGAAGCATGTACACTTGTGTGAGCCTATGGGTTGTGTTGTGTTGTGTTGTGTCAGGTCAAGTATGAGCGTGCAGATGGTGAGGTGAGATGGTTCAAGTGCGGCGGCAGAAAGGCCTCCAAGAACAGCAGGTAAGTCGGTCGGTGGGTCGGTGTGTGTGTGGGTAGGGTAGGTCGCGGGGCGTCCATTCCTGTGTCTCTCTCTGTGTCCATCCCATCCCATCCCATCCCATTGTCCAGTGTGATATACGGGTACATCCAGGACGTGACGGACCGCAAGCGCAGTCAGTGTATGCTTGAGCAGCGGGTCAACCTGTGCGAGAGGGTCGTCGAGGGCACACTCGACGCCACCATGCTCATCGACGCACAGGTACCTACCTGACCTGGTGCACTGCAGTGCAGTGCAGCTGTCGCTGTCACGTGCCCGCCTCATCCCATCCCGATCACATACTGCAATAAAAGTGTGTCAAACGTGTTTTGTTTGGTATGCATGGATGGCATCCATCCATCAGGACAATTTGATCCTGGAGAGCTCGCCGCTGCTCAACCTGTGGGCGGGGCGCTCACTCGTCGGTAACAAACTACACGGCTGGGACGCTGTTAACAGCCCCACACCAAAAACTTTATGTGCTGTGCTGTGCCGTGGTGTTTTCTGATGTCTGTCTCCGCCTAGGTCACCCGATAACGCCATTGTTCAACAGCTGGATGCTGTCGTGGCTCAAGAGCGACGCCGCCCTCCAGGCCACCGGGGGCGAGACCGTCATCACAGCCATACTCACCAACCCCAGCGCCCCACAGGAACAAGCCAAGGTGCCTGCCCATACCTGACCTGCAGGCAGTGCACACATCACATAGACCAACACGTGGGTACACGATGAGATGTCTGTCTGTGTCCGTCTAAACAAACAGGGTGAGATGTGTGTGTTTGTGGACTCGGACGACCCTGCGCGCATCTTCATCGCCTTCAAGGCGTTGATCTCCAACACGCCCCCCTACCTGCCGCTCAAGCAGGTGGGCCTCATACGCGCCCCCCGGCAGCAGCAGTCGCGGCCGCGTGCCGTCCGCAACCAGACGCCCAACTCCACCGGCATCGCCTCCTACGTCACGGGCATCGTCAGATGGTTCACCGGCTGAGCTGACCGACCGGATGGTTGACCTGACCGGCGTCACATGCATGCATGGAGTCATGTGACTGAATGCAAGGCACCACTCACTGATCTGTCAAGTCAACGGGGGGCTGGGTCGGAGGGAGGGAGAGAGATAAAGTTTATGCGTTTGTGGCTTGTGTGGGTGTGTGGGTGTGGTAAGGTGGGTGGCTGGGGTACGTCGGTGCTGTGGCTGCTTAGGTGTTTGTCCTTGTTCCTTTCTTTCCAATTTTATGACACACACGGTCATGTCGTGCTGTAGGCTAAGGGGGAGGGGGAGGGTGCCACCCCACCCGGGTTGATTCGTACCATGCACACACACTCACACACACAGAGAGAGGCAGGACAGGATGGCGAGGCCGGCCGATTTATTTATGTTGCCAGCTGGATGGTGAAGGTTGCGTACCTACAGGACACACACGCACCTATTGCTACCTCCCTGTCCACCTACCGCTCCTTGCTGTCTGTCTGTCGCCTCCCTCCCTCCCTCCCTCACTGCGTGTGCGTGGTTTCAATCCAACACCGACGGCAGCCCCTCCCTGTGGTCGCGTGTGGGCGGATGCTTGTTGGTCCGGACTGTGCGGTGTGGTGTGGTGGTCGTGGTGCTGGGGGCCCAGCATTTTTGCCTTCAAAACCTGGCCGCCGGCGTGTGGATGGATGATCGTATCGTACGAAGGGTTTTATTGGCGATGAGACAGCAAGAAGGTGCTCTCTTGACACTTGGTGTATGGTATTGGGTCGGTGGGCTGTCTGTCTGTCTGTGTGTCTGTTGTGTGTTGAACGATGCTGGTGCATCTGTCTGCCTGTCTCTATATCTGTGTGCGTATGTGTGTGTGTATGCTATCCACTCATCTCATTATTATCCGTCTCTCCACCCAAAGCCACTCAAGGAAGAGCGAACTCTCCGCTGTGTGGGTGGGCTGCGTGGCTCGTTCGTCTCTGCTCAACTCTGTCTGTCTGTCAGTCTGTCTGTCTGGCTATGTGTGGGTCGTGTGTGGGGTGGTGTGAGTGCTACCCTACCTGATTTGAAGGCGTACTCGAAATCTGTATACCATACCTGTGTGTGCTCATCATGAGGAGTAGCGGTGTGGGCGGCGTCCCGTCCGTGGTGTCTGTCTGCCTGCATACCCATACATAGCTCTCTGTGTTTAATCCAGCTCTCTACCTCTCTACCCCGTTGTCTCCATCCGTCGTGTCTGTGAACGAATGTGTGTGTGTGTGTGTGTGTGTGAGAGAGCGTGCGGGGGTGTGGCGATGCAGGTACTTACTTACTGCAGTCATTTAGCCACTTGTTGGTTGTCGCCTGTAAGTTATGGCGCCAGACAGCCGGCCGGCCGGCCGGCCGGCCGGCCGTAGACAGACATCCTACGTACCATAGCCAGACGGCTGGCTGGGGAGCGCTGGCCCTCTCTGGTTGTTGTCGTTGTCTCCGTGTGTTGTGGGCCGGGCCGTGTTGTGTTGTGTTGTGTTGTGTTTTCATGAATGACTGAATGACTGAATGAAGCACAGCATCAGCCCGTCCTCATGCGTCAGCTGATGCCACCCAGCCTCTCTCTATTCTCCCTTTTGTTGTCTCATCGAGTCTCTCTTGTCAGTCACATGTCTGATGTATGTATGTTGGGCAATGCGCTCGATCGTTCCTTCCTCTCTCTGTCTGCCTGCCTGCCTGCCTGCCTATCTATTTCTGTCTATCTGTGAGCGAGTGCCATCCATCCATCCATCCATTTTGTGAACGCTTAAAGGGCCTTTGGTGAGAGGAAGTGGCGGGGAGGGGCAGTGTCTGTCTGTTTGTTGAGGGCACCACACCTCTGGGCCGTTTTATGAGGCCGAGGGAGGGTGGTCTCTCTTGCCGTAGTGGGTGGGCGTGAGGTAGGTGACCAGAGAGAGGGACAGGGAGGGAGGGAGGGCGGGAGGCAGGTATGCTGCCGCACCGCCGGCCTGCAATTCGTCAAGCGGTCGAATGTGCGTCTGTGTCCACTCTGGACCGGCCGGCCTGCCTGCCCAGCTGGTGACTGACACCTATGGATGTGTGGCTGTTGTGTGGCTTGTGTGTGGGTCGGGTCGACTGACTGGCTGGGTGCCGTGTCCGCTGTCCTGTGCTGTGCTGTGCTGCGCTGCGCTGCGCTGCCTTGCGCGGTGTGTGGGGATAACGAGGGCGGGTGGTTGGTGTGGTTGGGTGGTTGTTGGTTGGCTGGCTTGGCTGCATTCGGACGGCCTCTCTGCAGAACTGCTAGCACCCCGCTTGCTTAACCGTCGATATGAACAAAAGCGGTATATCAGCCTACATCCATAGATACATGCCCCCTCGGCCCACTAATGCAATGCATCAACATGCCATCCATCCATCAGGCCTGGGCCGCACATCGATCGATATCATATAGGTCAGGTCAGTCCACTCCGCTCCCCTCCAACAGGCAAACAGACAGACAATACACACACCGAGGAGAGGAGAGGCATGGATGGATAATGCCTCACACACCCACACGGACATGTCTCCCGCCCTTCGCCTCGCTTTGCTGTTGGCTCGGCGACCTTCGCCTCGCTCTGTCTCCAGCAGCTCATGTCGGCCGTGCGGAGGCGGCGGCTGGCTGGGACCATGATTGCGTGTGTGAGGAGGCCGGCTACTGGGAGAGAGGGGCTCGGACGAGCCGAGGGAGAGAAAGAGATCCATGACAGCGGCAGGTTCATTCGTTGTGCGTCGGCTGCTGTCAAGAAATCCATTCATCGGTTTGGGTACCAAAAATATGTCCACTTCAAAAAACGCCAATCGCATCCACCGACGGATGCAGAGTGTCACCCAGCAGCAGTCAATCACAAACAAACACGCGTGCAGCCAGAAATCACGCCACACACGACCCTCTGTCCCCTTGGTCCGTCTCTCTCTCTCTCCGTCCGCTGCTATCTATCTACTGGCTAGAGCTCCGTGTTTGGCACTTGGTGGCACCAATGGGATGTTCCGTTCGTGTGTCTCTATCTATCTATGTGTGTCTCTGTGTGTGTCTTGTCACTCGTCCATAAACAAGGGGTCGGGCCAGATGGCCTCGCTGTCTCCCGGCAGCTCCTCGGGCATCGGTATGCCGATCCCCTGCTCCCACCACGTGGGGGACAGGTCATTATCTCCATCCTCATCCCCCGGCAGGCCGCACCCCATACCAAAGCCCATACCGCCCATCGTCGACAGTATCAGGCTGCTGTCGCTGAAGTCGATCATCCCATCCTCTGCACCGCGGCACACCTCTGCCGCCGTCCAGGCCGTGTTGCTCGGCCTCTCCACCTCGTTGCCCCACTCAGACGAGCACCCAGGGGCCTCCTCCTTGTGCTGATGCTCCAGCTCGTCGGGCTCTGAGTCTGAGTCCGAGTCAACACCGAAACGAGCTCTCCAGTAAGCTGACACATCAACACACACACACACACACATGTCAAGAACTTCCTCGTTGGCCATCTCCCACAGATCACTGCGTATCTCACCCGGCAATCCATTCACTCACCGTGGTGTGCCGTATCGTCCGCCCTCTCCCTCCGCGAGTTGTAGAAGAAGAAGCGGGTGGGGTTGAAGTTCATCATCCCCGCGTCCTCCCGCTGCTTCGGCGCCGCCTCTTCCTCCTCCTTTGCCGGCTTTTTCTTGGGTTTGGCCTTGGCTTTGGGCTTTTTGGGGGCCGGGGGCTGTTTGTGGGAGGGCGGCGGGGGGCGGCTGTCGGCCTGCGATGTGGTGGAGGGCTCTTGGCCTTTGAGTCTGCGACTCGACCGTCTGAAGAGCTGCACGGCTCGGCCATCGTCCAGCATGGTATCTAACTCTGCACGAATCCACACACACGAGGAGAGCACACCAATAATCCGCCACGGGTCTGAGGTGCGGCTCTTCGGTTCATACGAGCGTGTCTCTTTGCTGACTGACTGACCATTATCGTCAGTTGAGTGTTTTCGCTTTTGGCCGCGGCCGCTTTTGTTTTTGTCCTTGGTCTCACAGCCCGGCCTCCACTCCTCTGTTCCATCTGCACACACATGACAAACATGACCGATGGATGCATCCAATGCAATGGCTGGAGGCCACTCTTGTTACCGCTCTTCTTCTTCGAGCGGTTCTTTTTGGCCCCGCGCTTCGATGCCCTCAGCTCCTCGGCGGCCTCTCTCTCTTCCTCCGAGTCTGCAGACGCCTTCTGCACTGACAGGTGGCCTGTGTCAACTGCATCCATCCACAAAAAACGAAATGCACCCAACGAAATGCATACGTAATTCCCATGCATGGAACTCCTGGCCCCCTCGGACCTTTCTCGCTCGCCTACCGGCCATTTTCGTATGGGGGGGCGGATATCCATAGTGAGGGTGAGGATAGAGGGCCTGCGGGGCGCCCGCTAGCGACACGACGGACGGCGCGTTGGCGCCAGGAGGGGGGAGGGGTGGGGGAACGGGCATGCTGTACGTGTGTGGCAGAAACGACACGAGAGGTGCAGCAGGGGACCTTGCAGAGCAATATCAGAGCAAAATATCACTGTCGTCAAGTGGGGGCGCGAGCTGCAGATTGTCGCAAAAGTGGTCGTGGGCCATCTCAGTTTTGGAGTGCTCTGCATGCATCCTCTCTCTGAGCGTCGCAAAGCTGATTTCACCTGATTTGCTGACGCTCAGACTTAACGGCCTCTCTGCAAACTTGCTGGCACCTCACTTGCTTAACTGTCGCTATCATTAAAGGCGCAAAGCTGCTTTCAGCAGTACAGCCCTCGGGACTGTGTCTATGTGGCAGCACTCACTCGTCGAGCATCCATCCATCCATCCATCCATCTAGGTAGCTATCGGTCGGTCATGCCAATCAAAAGAAAAAATGACACCGACTGATTTGATTGCATGGAATGCGAGAATGCCACCCAGCCACAGCCAGCCGGCAACGCCCATCCACATCTTTATCCTTCGGAAAGATAGATGGACGGTACCCACCGGTGGACTGGACTTGACGACACACTCACGCGGCACTTACACATGGGCACTGGCCACACACACAGACCAATGCCTCGCTGTGTATCTCTCTCTCTCTCGCTCTCTCCGGTCGCTTCGCTTCATTTCGCAGGCCAGATCAGATGAGTGCTCCCATTAGCACTTGCTCACTGATCCAAACACGCCATGCCATGCCATGCACACCACGCCGCACCATGGCGTCGCGTCGCTACGAGGATGTGGGCGGCTTGATGCGGAAGCTGCCCCCGTCGCTCAGGCGGGTGCACACAAGCTTACCCCAATCGACCTCCCACTCGTCACTGTCACACACAGAGAGAGAGGTGGGCAAGTGTTGTTGTGTCTGTGAGTATGTATGGTGATGAGGTCAGGTCGTTGGCTCTCACTCACTCGTCCTCTCTGAATCTGCTCTCGCCCTTGTCGTATAGGTCCTTGATCATGGCGTCCTGCTCCTCGTCCATCTCCACCCAATCGCTGCCTCGCTGCGCACACCACCTACCGCTCTCGGGCGAGTAATCTACACACACACACACACACACACACATCGATCCATTCATCCATCAAGAAGGCGTTGGTTGATAGATGGGCGGGTGGCTGCTGACTCACCTTCGATTGTGGCTCGTGTTGGTGCGGCTCCTTCGGTGGACTGGCCCTCCTGTGTTGGTGGTGGGGGTGGGGCGGCCGGCTGCTCGCCAAATGACGGGGCACCCTCGTTGAAGTCAACATTCTGTTTTACAGGTAGGACAGACAAGACACACAACACAACGGACACACACAATGCATTGGGTGAATGGATGGATGGACCGGAGTGGAGCCACATGCGTCGCATACGTACCAGAATGGACTCGTTGAGGCCGAGCGACGCAATGAGCTCCCTCGCTGCCTCCTCGCGTGCCTTCTGCTCGGCCACCATCCTGTCATGGTACAGCCGGGCGGTCTCCTCGGCCTCCTCAAACACCTCGGTGTAGTTCCTCAGCATCTGGCCGGGCTCCTTCTCCAGCACCTTGGTCGACAGCGACACCCTGCCGGTGACCTTGTCGTAGTCGATGACCATGGCCTTGACCTTGGTGCCGATCGGCAAAGGCACCTCGTCGACACGCTGATACGATATCTGCGACACGTGCAGCAACGCATTGGTGCACCCGAACTGATGGATCGACACACACACACACACAGAGAGAGAGAGAGAGATGAATGGAATGAAGAAGGGGTGGAGTGAGTGGATGGGCCACGGGCGGGGAGGGAGGGTTACTTACGGCAATGAAAGCGCCGAAGGGCTGTATGGACTCGACGACGCCCTCGATGAGGTCGCCTCGCGAGAGGTTCTTGAGCTGCTCCTCCACCTCAGCTCGCTTCTGCGAGACCACCAGCCGGTCGTTGGCGATGTCCAGATCTAGCACCTTGACGCGTAGCTGCTTGCCAATCATTTCCTCCGTCGGCTCCACACCTATACACCACCACACACTACCGCTGTTCTTTTTCTGCCCGATTGTGCGGTGGTAGGGTTACTTACCAGGTGGGCACATTTGGCTGCTGGGGAGCCATGCCTGCACTCCGAGGACTGAGACCTGCACGCCGGCGGTGTTTGGGACGGCGAGGACCATGGCGTCGATGGTGAGGTCGTTGGCCTGGATCTCCACCAGCTTCTCCCAGGCGTTGAAGTACTGCAGGTTCGCCATCGTCAGCACTAGCGACTTGTCGTCGATGCTGACAACAAAACAAACACAAAAGGGCAGAAAAGAGATACGACGCATCGCGTCGATTGACAGAGAGAGACTGGATGTGAGTGTGTGGTTGAGGATTACATTTTGATCTCGGCTTCGATTTTCTGGCCAGGTTTGAGGATCTGCTTCAAACGAGTCCTGAAGCACACCCACCACACACCACACAGGCATGCCATGAGCACAGAGGATAGGATAGGATGGTCCATCCTGTCCTGGCTGGTGTGTGATGTCCGTCTGACGGTTGGGTATTATATATATACTGACTTGTCGGTAGGGTCCATGACGACATCGCTTCGTGGCAGCGTGGCGAGCTGCTGCATGCCCACGTCGACGAAGGCCTGGCGGTCAGTCACCTTGACAATCTCGCCCTGCATCGATGCAGCACAAAGACAGCGAGATGCAATGGGTGGATGGATGGATGGATAGATGGGCTGTTTGTTTCTCTGTTTGCAGGTAAGGTAGGTACCTGCACGAACATGCCCGGCCTGAGGGGTCTCTTGGAGAAGCCCACATACCGATCGAACTCCTTCATGTAGGCCTCGTCAAACTCGTCGTAGGTGAAGCCCGCGTTCACCTCGTCAGGCTTCAAACCCTCCGCCGACTTGCTGGACCTCAGCCGCCTGTCCACTCTCGGCACGTTGAGCTCCTTCCTGAACATGTCGCCGCTCTCGCCCGTGTCCATGTCTGCCAGCGACGGCATGCCGAAGCCGGCGAAGTAGCCGGGGGTGAGCACCTCGGCGGGGTCCATCGGCTCGCCTGGCTTAGACGTGGACGGGGTCACACCATCAAACCTACACACACACACACACACACAGAGAGAGAGAGAGAGAGAGAAGCGGTCCTTTTGGTGTGTGCCTGTTTGTGTCTTCACCCGACCCACCCAGCCCATCTACCAGTCGATGAGGAGCTCTCCGCGCGCCCTCTGCACATCGGGGTCGTCTTTGTAGTCTTCCGACAGGTACTCGTTGGAGGGGCGCTTGTCGGGCCGGGGGACGACCTCCACGTTGCCGTCGGCGCCCTGCACCACCTGGTGACCCATGTTGCGCAGCATCCTTATCGCCTCCTCCTCAGCCAACATCGCCTGCACGTCACACACACAGAGAGAGGGGCATGGCTGTGTGTGTGTTGTTGGTTCGTTGGTTTGTGGTCGGTTTAAAGTGGCCATCTATCTATCGTCAGTCACCTTGAGGTTAGCGTCGATTTCCTCCTCTGTTTTGGCGATGGTGCGGTTCTCACTCAGGATGTCCACATTCATCCCTGTCACAGCACAGCACACACACAGAGAGGTGGGGTGGGAGGACCCTAGCTGTGCTGTTTGTGACAATCGATGTGCCTGTGAGTGCGTCACGTACCAGCCTCCCTCATCTCAGTGGTGATGAGCTCCTCCCTCTCGGCCTCGTCCATCTCCTCGACGCGCTTGCGGCCGCCGAGTGTCCTGAGCTTGTTGAGGATGTAGTCGGTGCTCCTGTAGTCGCCCATGTCCTCCGGCACCGGGTAGTCGAACAGCAGGTCCTGGCGGATGAAGGGGTCCTTCGCTGCGGCGAGGAAGTCAGTGCGCTGGTCTGGGTGGTCCTCCCAGTCTAGCTCCTTGCTGCACACACACACACACAGACAGATAGAGATATGGGAGAGAGAGAGATGGGGTGTGTGGTGGATTGAATTGGGGTGTGGTGTTTGTTTGACCTTTTGACGATTTTGGTGGTGGCGTCCAGCATGGCTTGTGTGGTGTTGATGGCAGCGATGAACTCGTGTATGCCCTCTTGCGGCTTGGGCTCCACCTTCATCCAGCTGTAGTCCAACTGAGCCCTCTTCGGATCTTCATACCTACCAAATAACCAACCACACACACCCAACAAGTGGATTGTTGTCTTGGCCTGTCTGTCGGGTCGGCTGCTCTGCTTTGCTTACAGTTCCCTCTCGACGGCGAGCCTGTCCCTCATCTCGACGAGCCAGTCGCCCCGTATGTGTGCCTCGAGGTCAAAGGTGTTCTCGTCCAGCTCGGTGTAGTACTTCTGCAGCCCCGCCAGCTTGTTGGCCGCGTCCTGGCGCTGCTCTGCCGGCACATTGGGGTCCCGCGTCAACGCCCCGAAGTACTGCTTCATCTGCAGGCACGGCGCGGCGCGGCGCACAGAAAAGGAGGGGTGTGTGCTTTGCTGTGCTGTTTTGTGCGGGTGGTGTGTAGAGGGGCGGCCCGGCTCGGCATACCTCTCTGAGTTTCTGGTTGTGGCCTTCTGCGAGAAGCGCCTTGTTGGCGGTGCAGAGCTGTCGCCACTCGTCCGGCTGCTGAGTGCGGAGGCCGTCCATAAAGTCGACGTAATCCTCCTCCTACAGACAGACAGACAGACCAATGTGATGTGATTAATGTGCACTCATGTCATGTCCTGTAGGTGTGTGTGAGTGTGTTAGAACTGGTGTGTGGTGTGGGAAGGGTTTGGTTTGGTTGCGTACGAGCATGATTCGTGCCATTTTGACTTGGCAGATGTCCCGGACGACCTCGAACGGCATGTCGTGGAGGGTCTTGCCCGACTGGTCGATGGTGGCCTGGATCTTGCCCTCCGCCTCACGCACCACCGACAGCACACTGTCGTGCTGCTCCATCGACTCCAACATCTCACGGTACTGACCAAATCAATCAATGAATGAATGAAACATCCATGTGTGTGTGTAAGTGTGTTGGGGGTGTGGTGTGGGTCACTCACTGACCTTGGTCGGCATGAGTGGCTCGTCGGCCAGCCATTTGTCTTCGGTCGGCAGGGCATCCCTCAGCTTGGCCACTATGAGCTCCATCTCACTCTCGCTGGTCGTCTCGGTGATCTCGTCCTCAGCCTGGCGCCTCAAATGCAGTGCCTTAGGCCCCGCCCTGCCAAAGTCCTTCAAGATCTCCCTGCTGAGCGCCTTGGTCCTCTGCCTTCGCGGCCTGTCGCCCTTCTGCGGCCTGGAGAGGCGCTGGAGGTCCTTCCACAGCTTCTCCAACTCATCGACCTCTATCTCGCTGATGGCCTCCTCCTCGGCTGTGTCGATGTCCACAGGCGGAGGAGAGGCCACTGCTGATGCTCCCAAGGTCGACACATGAGTGGGTGTGAGTGTGTGCGTGGGTGTGGGTGGCCGCCTCGTCAGCCGCTGCAGCCGAGTGGGTGTGGGTGCGTTGGGGAAGGCCGGGAGCTGGAAGGACGACACCATCGTGGCCACGCAAGACAGGAGGGGGAAGAGGGGCAGGGAGATGGCCGGCATCGCTGCTGGTGGCCACATCGCTCAGATTAACACTATGACCACCTCATCGGCACTGCAGGCGGCCCTGGCGCGTCTGTTTCAGCGCAGATCTGTCGTGCTGACAAATGCGAGCTCAGCGTTTGCTCAGCGTCTGCGAGCTAAGCAAGCAGAGGGAGCGTCCTCTCTTTTCCCTCCAAGATCTTGTCCTCAGGACAGCGAAATGAATGGAAATCTGTCTGAAGTTGAAGCGGCAATCTCCGTCCTTTCTTCATTTCACAGCAGCGATGCCGCTGCAAAGGCAATCGCCACTCTTGACGGTAGGGTACGGTACGCATCACAGTACAGCACAGCACACTACTCACGACCTTCCCTCACAAGTCAGTCGCTGATCGATCTGTGTATGTGATGGATTCATTGCATCCATCAGCCTTCAAGAGATCTCCTCCCGAGTCCACCTGGCGGCCGTGCATGGAGTGGTTCCTCTCGCCAACTGGGCCGATCGCTCTGCGGTTCTGGGCCGTCAAGGCCCTTATGGAAGTGCTCCCACGGCTGTACACCGGCAGCCGCCACGGCATCATTCCCCTGCTGCTGCAGTACCTGCAGACACAGTGTGGCGGCGACGGCAGAATGGACGAGTCTACCATGGTCAACCAGGCCTGTGTCTTGTACGTCAAGCTGATGCGTGTCGAGTACCCTGAGAGGTGGGGATCCGCCGTAGACGACATGCTCCAGCTGGGGGCAAGGGGGCTGCGGGGCGGCGAGATCTGCGCCAAGCTGCTGGTGGTGGTGGATGAGGAGATCGTCAGCGACGAGCTGCACCCCACTCAGGAGGAGAGGCAGCGCAGCAGCCACGTCAAGGCCGCCATGCGAGCCAACGACATAGCCAAGATCGTCTCGTGGTGCTACGAGCTGCTCCGGCAGCCCCCCTCCCCCCCACTGGCGCCGCTGCACCTCACCTGCCTCAAGGTGCTGGGGCTCTACTTCCCATGGATCGACCTGAGCGCCATCGTCAACCCCTCCATGCCACTGCTGGCCCTGCTTCTGGCGAGAGTGCGGCAGAGTGCTGAGGGAGCGGGGGAAAAGGGTGAGTCTCAGTGTGGTGTATGGGATGGCGAGACGGCCGCAGAGGCGTGTGACGCCATCAGCGCGGTGAGGGGGCGGGTGGGCACACAGATCAGATCCAGACAGACAGACAGAGCATTGGGTGGATGGATGGGTGGACTTCTGCACCGTACGGACATGCCACGCATCAATCAGGTGGTCAAGAAGAAGATGCCTGCCGCGAGCAAGCTGTCCCTGCTGACCGACGGGTCGCTGCAGCTGACCCCCACCATGGAGGGCGCCATTCACCGCCTGTGGCAGCGGCAGGGCCACCATCCACAGCAGCACTTGGAGTTGCTCGGGGGTCTGGGTGAGCTTTGCAACGCTGTGGGGGAGGAGGTGCTCGACTGTCTGGCGGCCATGCACAAAGACAACAATATCAATGCGGGATTCCAGGGGGTGACCGAGGTATCACCGACTGGGGAGGGGGAGGGAAAGGGGGAGAAGGGCCCATGTCACACAGCTCTGCTCTGATGTCGTTGTGTGTGGTCCGTTCATTCATTCCTTCTTCAGTGTTGGCAGCTGCTTGAGAGGATGGTCAACACGGCGAGGTAGGTAGGTGTTGTGACGGGAGGGTTTAGCAACCAAGCCATGCATGGTTTCTTCGTTCAGCTTTGTATTCGGCCACGAGTCGTCCCGTGTGAGCGAGTCTGTGGAGGCCTTCCTGTCCGACTTCGTCGGCAAGGTCAAGGCCCTCATGGCCATGGCGCAGCAGCAGCAGCAAGGGGCACCTACACTACAGCAGCAGACCAATCATGCCGTCAGTGTGGAGCAGCTGCACCCGCTCTTCCTGGGACTACTGAGGGGCATCGCACACAAGGTGGGTGTAGGCGGTGAATGTGGCGGGGAGACGGCGGGGCCATTAGCGTGAGGAATGTGTCTCCCTCTCTGTGTGTGTCTGAGTGTGTGTGTGTCAGGTGTCGTATCCACCATGGTATGACTTTTGCATTGCAGCTGATGACGACGACCGTCACCTCGAGTTCCTAAGATTCAGAAAGGTCGGTCAGTAAAGTGCACTGGGCGGGCACACAGTGGGCTCGTACACACACATATCCATCTATCCATCCATCCATCCATCGCATGTCGGCCTCTTGTCGCACCGCACAGGAGGTGACCAAGCTCTTCCAGCGCATTGCTACGGTAGGTACCACACACAACACAACAACAGCCATGCATCGATACATACGTGGCACTGCACTCTGTGTACCATTAATGCATTGCCTGCGTGTTGTGTGTCTGTGCAGTTAGACGAGATGTTGGTGTGGGAGTTCCTGCGAGCGGCCGTCGACGAGCTTTGTGCGGCCTTGAGTGCTCACACGGCAGCAGCAGGGACATCCTCACCTCCCCCTCTGCCATGGAATCGCGTGGAGGCCATCCTATACTTGCTCTTCGTGGCGGGAGAGAAGAACAGAGGTCAGTATACATGGCCGGCCACATGCGATGCGATGACCTCAGGTGGATGTGGTGGCGTGTGGTGCCATTCAGGCATCCCTCAGGCCCTCAAGGTCCCTCCAGAGAACGCCCCCCCACCACACCCCTCCCCCCACCCGCTGCGTGTCAGCCTCACCCGCATCTACAGCTGCCCTCCTCTGCTGGCCTTCCCACACCACGCCGTCCGCACACACGTCCTGGAGATGCTCGTCAGATACTCGGCATTCTTCCTCCCGCCCAAACGGGGCAGAGCAGAAGAAGGGTCATTCTTTCTGGTCGGCCTGCAGCTGCTGCTCGACGAGAGGGGGATCCGCAATGCCGACCAGAGGACGCCCCCCCTGGCTGCGTCGGTGCTGCAGAAGTACGTCAAGGCGCACCTCAATGGGGCGGTGGCTTACACGCAGCAGATCTATGAGGGCATCCGGCCGTTCCTGACTCTCCCCTATGTGCCGTTCACCGCATCAGAGGAGGGCCAACGGGCGGCGTGGGGTCTGCTGCACCCTGACGACCGCACCCACCTCTTCGAGACGCTCGGGCTGCTCATCGGCGGCCTCACGCGCAGCCTCACTGCTGGTGATGTGGATGCGGCCAAGCAGTCGTATCTTCAGAGTGCGATTGCCCCCTTGCTGGGCCCCATGAAGGATCCCCAGCTGGCTGCCGAGGCGCTGGCAGATAGGGAGGGACACGCGGAGTGGATCGCACGGGCCATACAGGCAAGTGGAGGGAGGCATCTTATCAACCCAGATGGATGGATGGATGGGTGGGTGTGTATGTGGGTGGTTGGGCGTGGTGTCTGCACAACAGGCGATGGGTTGCATTTCCAAAGGCTTCAGCAAACCAGTGCCGGTGCTAAACGAGGTGTGGCGGTCGGCCCTCGATGGCGTCACCACCGCCATGAAGCTCTTCGGCGGCTTCCCCCGTGTCCGCCGGTACTCGCTCTTCTTTTGCCGGCGGATGGTGACCCTCATGAGTGGGGGGCTCCTGATGTCCTCGCTGGCGTCGATGCTCACACTCTTCTACGCCCAGCACAATCTCGGCCTGGAGGAAATCAACGACCTGGCCATCTTCGTCGGCCACATTGCCGCCACGCTGGTCGGCGATCCCCAGGTGCCGGCTGAGGGATTCCTCGAGTGCGTCACGCCGGGGTGAGCGGGGCGGGCATACATACGCGGCTTTCTGTGTGTGTGTGTGAGAGAGGAAGAGAAAGAGAGAGAGAGAGAGAGGTGTCTGTGTGTTGCTGCTGCTGTTGGTGTCATTCATGTCATGGTGCAGGTTTTTCGACGTGCATTATCGTGTGTGGCAGCAGCTGCCTGACGGGTCGGCCGAGATGCGTCGAGAGAAGAGCGAGGTGCAGAGCCAGATGTTCCACACCTTCTACCTCATCGCCCAGAGGTCCCCACACACACTGCTCAAGCTGCTCGCCAAGGACAATGCCGACACAGACGCCACCCAGCAGCCCTTCCGCGACAGGTTCGTCCATCTGAGTGTGGAGGGCGCAGTGAATGTGCGGTCCGGGATGGGCCTGGTGTACCTGCTGCAAATGTGGTGCCTGCTGGTCGAGTGCCTCCTGCAGACATCGCCGCAGGAGACCCACCAGGTGGGTGGGGTGGACAGGACTCAATATATGTGTGTGCTGGTGGCCATTCGTGTGTGCTCTCCCTCCCTCTCTGTATGTGTCAGGTTTTGTCGGTTCTGCAGGAGAGTCTTTCCAGAGTGGTTCATGGCTTCGCTGAGGGCCTCTTCATGCTGGATACACAAGACCCAACTGACTTACGGGTGCGGGCAGTGCAGTGCAGTGCAGTGCAGTGCCCATGGTCTCTCTCTGGCTGCTGCCGTTGTTTGTCAGGCCCTGAATGAGATGTGTCGACTTTTCCGCACTTTGGTGTGTCCGTCTGGCAGCTTTGCCGCCCTCTCAGCGTCACAGCAGGGTCACCTGAAGGCCATGATGCACTCAGGCATCAGGTCAGCACTCAGGGGGAAGTTGCAGGGCGACAAATCGTGCCAGGCGATGGCTGACAATCTCGTTCAAGTCAGTTGACACAGACACACAGAGACACACACACACAATGAGATTCCGCGTGTGTGGATGTGTTGGTGCAGGCGCTCCATTCGCCACCAGGCCAATCGGCTGCCGTGCGTGACACATTTAGGAGTGCGATTAGGGAGGTCCGGCAGTCGCAGCCAACATGACAGGCAGACAGCCCCGTGTGTGTGCGCAGCAGCGAGTCCATCCATTGCTGTGTGTGAATATGGGACGGTTCACTGACTTACGGACAGCACGTGCACAGCCATCCATGCAGCCGTTGGTTCACTTAAGGTCTGGTAAGAGCAGCTGATCCAATGATCGCTGGCGCCAGTAGCTGTGGAGGGATGTGGTCCGCACCTCCTCCAGTGGAATGGCGCCCTTAGACAGTGCAAATCTTGTCTTTATCCGCAGATAGGGAGGGGATATGCGCACAGGGGGCTCTTCTGCCATCCTCTGGAACACATGGAAACCAGACAAGCTGGTCCCTGCCGCAACGGGAGGGCTCAGCACTTCATTGAGCTCATATCTGAGACAAGACACAACGAAATGCATGTCCATACACAAGACACAGCTGCCTGCCTGTCTGTCTGTCTGTCCCCCTCTTCTTGCCTGCCGTAGAGCTGGTTCGTCGTGGGTATGTATGCAGGATTCGTATAGATGCTGTGACACCTGGCAATGCAAGCAGATTCACACCACAATGAAGGTCTGTTTCTATCAAGAGAGACAATATACCATTTCAAGAAGGGCGTTTGGTCCAGCGGAGGGAACTCACAAACTTCAGAAAGCGGTTCTGTGTGGATCCGCCAGTGCGTGCTTGCCCTCGACCTCATGGACATCCGGGGTTTCGGCGTGGCAACACCATTCACGATACGAATGGAAGGGCGGCCCACTTCGTGGCTCTTCCCCTGAAGCGCAGGAGTCGATTGGCTTGGCCTGAGGGTGCCCTCCTTCATTTCGCGGCTGGTGGGGCCCGCTCGCTTCCTTCCCAGACTGATGCGTGTGCCAGGGGTGGCGATGCTCGGGATAGAAGGGAGGTTTGGGTCTGAGGGCTGTTCGGAACGCAGCCCTGCGCCGCGAACCAGCTCTGCAAACGCACACGGCAGGCACACATGTGTGCACATGTGTGTACTGCTTACTTGAGAAGCCAGCCCTCGTTTTGCACGTGACTTTGCTTCCATACTCCCAACTGGATGGGACGGGATAGCGCAAAAGCTGGGCGCTGCTGAAGCTGTTTCTGAGCAATGCAGCCGTTTTCCCACCGGAGGGGTCAGCCGCAGAAGCGTACAATCGCATCGGGGGAAAAAAGAAAGGGGGGAAACTCGCGAGCTCGAGTTGCGGGCATTTACATCTTGGCTGGGGAGTTCCTGACTCATTGCTCCCCCCCTCCCCAACCCCACTCCATGCACACACGGCGGCCCGGCCGAACGACACGTCTGCTGCGCGAAGTGGTTGAAGACCCGTTTGCAGGCGAGAGGTCGAGACGAGACGCTGCCCGCCCTGAGTGTGTGGTTCGAGGCGCATACGTAATTACGTTTGGATGGGCATTCCTGAATGACCATGCATCATGAAGGGCTGGACGGATGCGTACCGGCACAGGGTGCTGGAGCTCTGCTCAAGACACAAGCGCGCGCTGGCGTCATCAGGGCTCACACAGGGTTGGTAAGATGCACGTGCAATCGGCCTAGCTTATCGAGCGATTCAGAGCGGCCCCGTTGCCGAGCTGACATCAGCAGGCCCCCTTAGCACAGGTGGAAAGCACTGAAGGCAAACCAGACAGCAACCAGCAACCAGACAGCAACCAGCACCCGTTCCTTTGTGTATGTGTCAGATTCTAACGAAGGGGGAATGTCGGGGGAGCTTCTTCCAGCTCGTGCACAAGGAAGGCCTACTGCAGGACGTAAGCATAGGAGAAAAGCCTATCAAGTGCTACTCTTCGCACACTGTGTGTCACTCCAGGGAGATGTAGTTGCGGATTTTGGCGCAGGAAAGGGTATGCCACTACATGTGACGACGCTGATCTTTCCAAAAATCACGGCGAGTAAGGAATATCGAAAGAGTTGGCACCTCATCAATGTCGTATTATGCTGTCAGATGGCAAAAAGTTAATCCACAAGTGTACCTGCTGTCACTTCGCCGCACGACTGTCTTTCTTGAACAGCTGTCGGCTTTAAAGGTACGTCCCCATGCATTTTTGTGCGGATGCATTTGTATGTCTCACATATGTATCAATATCTTGCGTCGTGCCTCAGCCTTTTCAAGGCAAGGCACATATTGCAATCGGCTTGATGGACTTCACTCAGCTTGTGGACGGAGTCAATGGCGTGAACGTACTTTACATATACGACAAAGCGTTCGAACCTGTGCGGCACCAGTGATGGATACACCCGGATACATCCCGTAGAAACAGAAGTCAACTCTTCTTTTCTCTTCTCTTTGGCTTCATACAGGTTGTGTAAGGCTGTGGCTTGCGCTCTCACCGTCAGAATTATTGTTATTTGGCAAGGTGAGTTCACGGACTAATACCCAATCGTGTCTCTCTATATGCATGAAGACATGTCGCTTTTGCAGTCTGACGTTTCAAAGTCCCAGCACCGCCTCATAGAAGATACAGCGTGTGTACGAGGAATGTTGTAGGGTACCTGAAACGACATCAATCATGAGTGCCGAGCCCCATGTGTGTGTCGTCGGGAAAGTGCCAGAGCTCCCGAGCCGGCATGGTACGCTGCGCCCTATCAGCCCTCACCACAGATAGCAGCATTAGGAGCAGCTGATGATAGCCTGCCGGTGGTGGCTTTCCTACACACCAACGTGGTCACCTCTCTTAAACACCCATCCCCCGAGACACACCCTGGTTCTCTTATTTCTACCCCTTTGACGTCCGACACCAAGACGTCACCCGCCTTGTGATGTCCGGCATGGCCCGCTACATCCAGTCAACCAATCTTAACGACAGCTACATGTTTTCCAACCAAACAGCGATCTCTACATGGGCAGTGGACAACCTAGCGATCCACATGCACGACACAGTTCAGTTTCGCGACCACTCTTTTGAGTGCCGCATGATGGAACCGACGCACCCTTTGTAAAGCGTCTGATGGCGTTCGCAGCGGTGGAAGGAGTACAGTTCTCGGCAGCCTTTTGCGGCATTTTCTGGCTGAAATCTCAAGGCCTCATGCCTGAGCTGACCTTCTCGAATGAGTTGGTAAGCCGAGACGAGGCTCTCCACACAAGGTTTGCTTGTCAGCTGTTTGCAACAGGAAGTCTTTAAAAGGTCGACACCAGTCAATTTCCACTATCGCCGCGACAACGCCGAGTTCGTCAACGACATCGACATTAACAAGTGCTTGTCCCGGGAGCTGGTAGTGAAGATGCCTGACAATGACAAGGCCCGCCACTTCTGTCGTCCCATCATGCGGTGCAAGCGGTGCGGCCGCTTTTAGCGACCCTTCTCATTTAACATCCACGAGCTCATCCTGAACGTCTCGGTTGAGTGCTCGTTTTCCGTCAGATACAATACGAGAAGGAGGCGGCAACGAGCTCTCTCGAAAGCCGTTCATCCCTTCGAAGAGCTGCTGCAGTGGCGGTGTGAAGCGGCCACGCGAGTGTAGCCGGTGCCACCAGTCGGGTCACTTTCGAGAGATGTGCCCAGCTTACTGCGTCACAGTTTCCAACATAAGCTGAGGACGTCAGAGGACGAACATAGCTTCAACTCTCTGCTTCTCTTCCTTTCCCTCCCCCTCCTCGTCCCCCTCCAATATTTGTCCCCCTCGCTGTCTGTCTGCGTCTTTGATGGTGTGCCATTGATTGCTTGCGTCATTGCTGCTGTTTCTGTACCTCACGGTATTCCACGATGGATCAGCGGGTCTGGCCACGGGCCCCTCTCAAGGAGCCGTGGCACGACATGATGATAGAGTACATGCTCAAGTCGCTGCTGATAGACCTCCTGCAGACGGTGCTTGACCACCCTGACTGGCTGATTGAAGCGGCTGCCCTTCGCTTAAAGGGGAAGAACGCTATGTGGTCCAGTCAGATCAAGCGCAGTATCATCGGTCTCATGCAGCCCACCATGGTGTCGGTGGTCAACTTCCCTCTGGCGAGCCGATGAATGTATGAGGGAAGGGATGGAATGAGGGGATGGCTGTCTGACAGTGCAGATGGCTGTGATAGTGTAGATGGTTGTGAGCGAGTGGGTGAGTTTATTGAGGACGGAGTGAATGGATTTGTGACGCCATTCATGTATGCTTGAAGTCGGGAAATGCCATAGGCATCATCGACTATATACGGCGGGGCACATGGCTCAGCAAGTTCCCGAGGAGCGAGCAAGACATAATGATAAATAACAATGCAGAAAAGGTGCGTTCGTCATTCATGGCCTTCACACATACGGGCCGTTTCGGTTTGTGCTTTGTGTTGTGGCTTATAGGGTGGCTCGATCCTGAAAAATCTGATGGACCACCTCCACAACTGTTGCCGGACCCTCGGGGTCAAGGACGACCACAGATGTACCCACGTGTGAAAGTACAATTGGCTCTGCGAGATCCGGAAGAGGCTGATGGCCACATCCGACAGAGCGCGTACGAGCAAGATCAGCATCATCGAGCTGGTAAGAGCGGGCGAGGCAGAATCTGTGTGCGCATTTGGCTCATGGGGACATTACTGTGTGCGCGTGTTTGTGTTTGTCGAAGGCACAGGCAATCGTACCAGATGAGTTAGAGGGTGTTAACCCATTGCGGCTGCAGCAGATCCTTTAGAACGTGCGGCGTCTCTTCAACGTCCACACTCGTCGCATCGAAGGTGACGCCACACTAGGTGATACCAATACCTTCGGCAAGTTGAAGACATGCTGTTTCAAAATAAGCAGCTATCTACCCGTCGAGAAGTAAGTTGGTATGACTTAAACGTTCTCGCTGCACTGAACCGTCGAGTAAGCGTGGGGATCTCATCTGTGTATTTATGTGGATACGTATCGATTTCCTTAGTGCAGTTTCTGAACAGGTTTGATGGTGTTGTCCGCATGCAAGAGCTCCTGCAACCACAGTGTCATCCCCTCGACTGCTTTGTGTGTCACGCCGCGTTGATCGCGCTGGGAATGAAGCAGTGGTATCAGCTGATGTGTCCGAACGCGTATTTGGGAATGAAGCAGTGGTATCAGCTGATGTGTCCGAACGCGTATTTGGGATACATGGCGGAGCAGGAGCGCATGCTTCGGGCGGGTGTCGAGGGAACAGGCCAATCGTGTTCGACAACATTCTGCGGCCCAATAGATGGATACTTAATCGTCGCTCCTTTTACTCAACTGCAAGCGCCTTACAATACTCAGCAGCGTAAGTGGGATGAAGTGGTGTGATTCAAAGAATTCACTCGTTAAACTTTCGCTTGTGTCTCGTTTATGTGCGCGGCTTTCTTATCGATTCGCGACTGGATGAATGGCTGCTGACTGAAGAGGCGACAACCATGAATACCACAGAAGACGCTGCGCGTCTCCCAGCTGCAATTTTGCCACCACAGCCACAGCCCGCAGCGACAGCAGCTGCTCCTGCAGTAGTGCCTGCTATCCAACTTTCTCAAGGTCAAGTTTGAGAAACAAAAAAAAAACAGAAAAAAACATGTCTCTACGAGTTTGTGATGTATTCTTGGTCTCTCAGGGATAGCCGCTGCCAGAGTTGGCGCTCGGATGGTCACAGATCAACATACATCTCAACGTAAGCTAGCTTTGGCAGAGGATCGCCAATGCGCCCTACCAGGCCGCCGCAGCTTGACATGTCAACCGATCGCAGCAGCCGGACAAGCCTCAGCAGCAACAGGACGAACGGACAGCACACATGAAGCCGGCGGGGCAGCGTGAGCGAACACACTGGGGAACAGAACGTAAGGTAAGCATACTTACATACCGAAACGACGCGAGCGGGGCCACGACCTGTTCATGCAGGTGTTGCACTGAAAGTGGAAGCCGGAGTTTGACGAGTCGAGTGACGCCGTCTATGACTTTCCGGCTGTCTGCGACCATCTGGACTCTGTCCGCATCGCTCGTCGAATGCCAGTGCTGACCGACGACGAGAAAGAGGCCATTGTCATCAACGCCCTGCCCAAGTTGTATGTCGAGGTGCGTAAGCGAGTCAGCCTGGCCTAGGAGCTGACCTGGGACAGCCTGGTGGAGATGTGCTCGCTGGGAGACGCGCTGCGCAATGGGAGCGACAAGCTTGAGGGCGTCCACAAGAACGACCAGGTCTTCACAGCGCAGCAGGCGACCGTGAAGGTCAACAAGGGCGGGCAGGGCCAGGGCAGGGGCAGGGTGTGCTTGGGGTGCGGCAGCACCGAGCACATCATCAAGGACTGCCCCCAGAAGCGCCCTGACAACCGCAATAGCATCAAGTACGAGAAGATCATACATGGTGTGGCATCATCAACCCTGAAGAAGAAAAACGGGCTCCATGTAAACCTCTCTGTTCGTTTACAGTGTCTCATCCGATGGCGAGCGGTGGGTGAAAGAAAACCGGCCAGGTTAAGTACGACCGTCTCAACCTGCTTAAAGCTCTCTCCGCTAGGCCTCTGCACGATCAAGTGCGCCATCTGCAGCAACTCAAGGATGAGGCCATCACAGCCACGGCGGTTGAAGGGAAGTGTTTGATATCCTGTTTGTATCCATGGCTCTACAAGTAGACATCCTCGTGAGCTGTAGATCAAAATTGGACAGCCGCCCATACCATTGTTGCATCCATCCATCCATTTGTGCATGCTGGGAGACCTTCCCTACCTGCATGCTGAGAGACCTTCCCAACCGTCAGTCACAGATCATTCACTGATGGCGATCGAGTCAATTCAATTACTGATGGGCACCACAGAATTCATAGAACATGGCATGGCATGGCACATGTACCATGGACGGACGGATGGATGGACGGACGCATTCATTTCATGGATGGACATTGAAAGCATGAAGTGACGTCTCTCAGAATTGTCTGATTGTCATGAACGGACGGACCTACATTAAAATCACGACACACATGCAATGCACATGGTCACGCACACAGCACACACATATCATACACACGAGTCGTGACACGACACACAGCACAACACGACACGAACACTCATCAGGTAGCAGAGAGGGAATGACATGACGGCCCTTTATGATGACGGACCTCTCTCTGGTCACTCACTCACGGACACGCACACAGACACATGCACACGTACACGTACAAGTTCGCGCACACACAAATACCACTCACCACACATGGATGGATGGACGGATGCATCAATCAGCCAGCTTCGTCTGCTGTACCACAGGTAGGTAGTCAGTCAGTCACTTTCATGCACATAAGAAATAGGTAGGAGCATGCATGCACACACACACAGGATGGATGGATGGATCGATGGATGGATGGATGGAAAATCAGCCGCACAAAGCGGCACACGAATCGACAGCCTTCCCCACCCACCCACCCACCCACACCACACGCAGACCGCCTCCTGCCTGAATGCCGCCATTGATTGATTGCGCATACATATCGCGAGTGAGTCCATGCATTATGTTGACAGAGCCGATAGCCCGAGACTGGGTCCATTCGGACCCCCGCCAGCCGTGTCCAGGTGCGAGAAGATCTCGTTGACCACTTGGCCAGTCTGGGATGGGACGAAGGATGGGACCAGACGCGTGAGAGGCTCTTTGAGCAGCGTCCTCTGCTTGTCGTCGGCTTGCGTGTAGAGGAAGGATAGTAGACGCACCAAGCCAATCGTGTGGCCCTCAGGATGACCTGCACATCCAATCCACACAGGAGCGCACAGCCACAGTCGCAACCTACGCCACCTGGTCCTTCCTGTGCGGTGCGCGTGAGTGGTCCATCGATCGTACTTACCGTGATCAGCCCGACTGAGCTGTTCGAGTGCCTCCTGGGGTCTCTCGTTGATGCACACCTGCACGATCGCCTGCAGCACGCCGCCACCGATCGTCTGCCCGTATGACAAAAGTGTCGACCTGACACACAACACAGCACACACCGGTCGTGGGAATAAGGCGCTCCACGAAGGCACGGATGTGTCACATTCGATTGGTGCCTGAGTGCCTACTTGACTGTTTGCGGGGTGTCGGGGTCGGTCACTGGAGGCAGGCGCTCGGTGAGGATGCGCAGAGAGCGAACTCCACCCTGCACACGGACGGCATACCAACCATCATGCGCATCAGGGGCGGCCTCCCTGTGTGAGTGGTGGCGTGTTGTCTTGAGCGTACCTTGTGGTGCAGCAGCGCCGCCAGCGTCTGTCTGTCGACGCCCTCGAGCATCCGACCAAGCAGACAACAGCACCAATCCCAACCATCCTGAGCACACACACCACAAGACGACAGCAAAGAGACATTTCTGGTGTCCAAAAGCAAGAGGGCATGAACATGCAGCTGGCTGTGGTGAGAGTGTGCCCAAGCTTCGGCCCCCTGCCGTCCTTTCGCTCAGATCAGGCAGAGGTTCCTTGCAGAGGCGCAAAGGCTGTCTACGCGTGTCACTGGCGGAGAACATTTCGATCAAAACTCGCGAAATCACTCCGTGGCAATGGACCGCGAACCAACATACCAAGGACTGCCTGACCTACTCTAGTCTACCTCCTTGCCGCTAGATTCCTCCCGGTGTCTGCCTGTCTCACCCACCTCATCGGGCGTGGAGAGTCGCTGCATGGCTTTGAGGGACGCGTCGGCCAGCTGCGCGAGCGCGGGGAGCTTGGGGGGCGGTGGGGGTGGCGGGGGAGGGGGCATGGGCATGTCGGGTCTCTCCCTGGCTGCCGCTGCTGCTGGCGGTGCTTTTGGGGCCGCCTGGCTCGTGTCGAGCGATGCCATGCACTCGCGCAAGAATGAGGGCGTCCGAACCACCATCTACACACACACAGCCACCCATGGGCAAAGTACACCAAAGCAGATGTGTGTGCTGCTGTGTGGGTGTACTCACCTGGAGCACGTATGCAAGTGCAGGTTTGACATTGTCTTGGTCCCGCAAGTCGTCCACCAGGTGGCCCAGCAGCCGCCCCACCAGCCGCTGACCCTTGCCGATGCGGAGAATCTTCTCCAGCAACCACTCGGCCTTGCTGCCCGTGCCAACAGTGTCGATTGACGATGCGCGCACCGGCGCAGCCGGCCCCTCCCCGCCCTCCTGCTCGGACGGTGTCTCGCTCTCCTGACGGACACCCATCGATGCGTGTGTATGCAGGCGGGGGGAGTGGGTGTGTTGGCTCACCCTTGATGGTGCTGTGAGTCCGTTGATACGACCCTCGTCTGAGTCGAGTTGGCCGTCTTCGGTTCGCAGTGATCTCCCGGTGGCCCAGCCGTACAGACAGCTGATCGCCTTCCTGTGAGGGTGCATGGATGGCAAAAATGATCGGAGGCAAAGTTTTTTTTGGTTGACGCATTTCATACCTCTTGTCGGTGTTGAGTCGGTCGACTTGTGGGGTGTTGAATGCGGGCGTCTCCCTGATTTTCTCGTCGATCCTCTCAATGTGCATCAGAGTGTCGTAGCCCTCCTCCACACACCGAGACACAAACCGACGCAGCTTGCCCTCTGACACGCCATGGGTGCGGATCTGAACACACCACACACCATCGATGCGCCATTGGCCATCCTCAACTCGCTCTTCCCTTACCATAGCCAGGATCTCGGCACACGTCTGCGGTGCCTTGGACGGCATTCTCTCGTCGACAACAGGCGACCCGTTGGTCCGCCCCTCCGGCCCACCGACGTGACCGAACCCCTGGCCAGCCCCCACACCCGGCGCGAGCTGGATGATCTGCCGCGGGTGACGCACGGTGGCGTAGTTGCGGCCGCCGAACCGACGATGGAAGTCGTCCTCTTCCTCGTGATCCACATGCACATGCGGGCTTCGAGAAACATCCAGACACACAAAAGAGGGGAGTGACGCATGAGATACACAGAGTGGTGGTGGGGGCCTTTGGGAGTGATGTACCTGTCTTCGGGTGGCTTCTCTTCGCGCGGCTCATGTGGCTCGCCCTCGTGCTCCTCCGGTGTTTCGGTGCCGCGTGTGACGGCCTCTGCAGCTGGGGAGCCGACGGCAGGTACCTCGTCATCGGAGCCTGCGTGGCTGGGGTGGATCTCTGATGGGTGTGGCGAGGCTGTGGACGGGCGAGGTGTGTGCTGGAAGACGAAGCGGCCGCTGGGCAGCTGTACTGAGGGATTCCGGGAGGTCTGATGGACACGAAGGGAAACAAGCAAACAGACGTTGTCTCATTGTCATTATCTGGCAGCAGCTGGTATCCGTTTCTGTTTCTTCTAGCCTTACGAGGTTGAGGAAGGTCCTGAGAATGAAGTCGATCTCCCGCCGTCTCATCAGCTGCCGCGCGCCCGCATCAGGAGGCATCTCCTTCTGCACACACACACACACACACACAGATGCACCAACCGTGATCCCCTGTCTGTGCCTTGTCACTCTCACCCGTGACCACGGTGCAGGGAAGTCGATCTGTCCCTTGACGATGAGCTCCTTGTGTGTCTTGGTAAGCGGGAAGATACGGTGAGGCCGTCTGGGCGGCACGGGGCCGCCAGTGGCAGCCCACTGAACCCCCGCGTGATACTCATCCTCCATTGGAGGGGGAGGGGGCGGGGGTGGGGGAAACACTGGCGAACCTGGCACCACAAACATCCCACAAGCACGAGGCACACAGGCAGGTGCGTGCGTCTGCAACGACATTTTTGTGTTGTCTCCCTCACCGGCAAATCCGCCCATGTTCATGTTCATGTTCAGTTGCCGGGCGGTTTTGCCCATCAGTTCGAACCCATCCGCCGATGGGTGTGGCAGTATGCCGGGCGGCCGGCCCATCAGTCCGAACCCAGGAGGGGGCGGAGGTGGGGGAGGCGCCCCGGGGAAGCCCCTCGGGCCACTTGTCGGCGTCTTGCCCACACGCTGAGGGCCAGGCCCGCCACCGAACGGCGGCAACCCGGCGTGCGGCCCTCGCCCCCCTTGTGGTGGCATCCTCTGCGGCTGCTGCTGCTGCATGCCGATTTGGTCGCTGTGCCGTCTGTCTTGCTGCAGCAGCTGGAGGATGGGGTTCGTCTGCTGGGAGGAGGGCTCGGGGGGAGGTGGCGGGCTCATGCCGCTGGGTGGTATGGGGCGTGACGCCGCAGGGACCGAGTGGCGGCCGACATGATTGGTGCCCCCGCCCGATGCGCCGAGAGCTCTCATGAGGTCCTCCACCTGGTTGACGTCAAGCTGGATGGTGCCCTCCCCAGTCCCCCTGGCGCGATGGACCAGCGACTGGAGCATGTTGATCTGCTCGCCACCAGGGCCCGGACCGCCAGGCCCCCTGTCCGCCGGGGAAGACACCTCGCCTTCTCCCCTGCTGCCTGTCGCCGACGTGTCGGAGCTCCGCGGTCCTAGCATAAACGGTGGGTTGGGCACGGCTGACGCGGGAGGGGGCGGGGGGCGGCTGCCCACCGGCTGCTGCATGCCGTGAAGGGCATCCCCGAGCAGCCCGCCGCCCTCAGGGGGCATGAAGGGCCGGTCCACCGATGGAGGAGACGAGACGAAAGGAAGGGGAGGTCGTTGCTGGCCGGGCTGGGAGTCGCTCGGCAGGTTGAACAGACCTGTGGTGGATCGCGCCTCGCGTGTGATATCTGTCTCCTGGAAGAGGGGGTGACGGGACTCGGGTGACGGACTGGCGAACGGCAGATGCGCCGGCTCGAGGGCAGGGAAGGGCGGCTGGTCGGCTGAGGGGAAGGGGGGAAAGAGGGATGGCTCCCCAGCAGGTGGGAGAGGTTCCGGTGTGGCGTGGGGCATCGACGGGACGCGAGCAGGGCCAGCACCAACCGAGCCGCCCTCAGCTGCCGCCGGCCAAGACCCAAGCCTTGTCGGCGGCTGCTCGCCTCTCGCCTCCATCATGACAGCAGGCAGCCCGGATCCGCCCAGTGGGCTCATGGCGCCGAAGAACGGGCTGATAGGAGCCGGCCCTGACCCCTCCCTCTTCTCCTGCGTGCCAGGCGACCAGTTGATCTCGTGGATGGACCCCTGGTTGGCCGCCTGGCTCCACCCCGCCCCCCAATTCTCGCCGTCAGAGCCCTCATTCGGCGGGTTGGTGGGGGAAGGGCTCGTCGTGTGCTCGGCGAGTGACGGCAGCATCTGCCTGATGTTCATGCCGATGCTGAGGGCGCTGGGGGGCGAGGTGCCGGGGGGAGGGGACGTCGATGGCGACGCGAGCTGGCCGCCGTCTGCCCGTGGTTGCCGCCTCTGGAAGGGGTCGGCATCGGGCACATGTGGGGGGCTCGGCGCGCTTGAGGGAGTGGCAGTCAGCTCCAGCAGAGAGTGCCCTCCCCCGCGAGACGCCCGCAAGCTGCTCAGGTCGGGCAGCAAGTCCTCCTTTCTCTGCTGTGGCTGCGGCTGATCATCCCGCCTGTTGGCCGCAACTGTGGCTGCCTTGGCAAAGAGGAATTGACGGAGGCCCTCCGGGGGTGGCGAAGCGGGGCTGCTGAGGGATCTGGCGTCCCCATTGGGGGGCGATGAGAGAGCAGTGGGGCCGGGGGAGGGCAGCGGGGCATCAGGGGGGCCAAGACCGGTATCGCGGCGGTAGTCGGACACATCCAGAGAGTGACGCTGACGAGGACAAATCACACAGAAGGAGGTGGGGGAGCCATATGAATGGCTTGAGTGCTGGGTGCTATGCTGCCACTTACGGGCTGCACTGCGAATGGCGAGGGCTGCATCCGATCTGGGAGGGACTCCGGTGAGCCAAGTGGGAGTAGGGTCGCTGACACAAGCAGACGAAGAGTCAATCAGATGTATCACGCGATGGACTGACTCTCACTCTCTACCTGATTGGGTTCTTTGTGTGCGACCCTCTCCCGCATGGAAGTGATGTCGGAACTCCTCGATCCGGTCAATCTCCGCAGCCGACGCAGCCCAATCGTCTCCTGCAGGCAGACAGACAGACAGTCAAACCACTCAGACAGACCATTATCTCATCCCTTCCGGCTCTTACTGATGGGTCCCGAGTCGCCGAACGTCTCGTCGTTAGCGGCATCGATCTCCTCGGCTCCATCATCTGCTTCTCCCCGTCCGTTGATGCCGTTGTCGGGCATCCCGCTGTCCGTGGGTGTCCTGTTAGAGCTGTCATCGAGAAGCGGTGACCAGGTGTCATATTGAGGCGAAGGCGTTGGCATACGGTCCACCATCAGTCTGTGCCACGTCGGGGGGAGGCAAACAGCCTCATCAATCAAGCGGTTTGGCGATAGACGAGAGAAGGAAGGTGAGTCAGAACGAACAGTTAAGGAGTGAGGTGACGGTATATATAAGGAGAAACTGAGGTCTTGAAGAGCCAGACGGAGCTAGACGACGTGTTTGAAAAGTGCGAGCTACACGACAGCTTAGCTCGCGTTTCCCTCTCCGTCTTTCCCTTCTCCACTCTCCCATCCCCTTTTTCCCCTTGCAGAGGCCCCCTTACGCCCCCCGTCTGTAAAGAAGCAAGCCATGGCGGACGAAGGGGTCAGCATCAAGGTGGCCGTGAGGGTCAGGCCCTTCAACAACAGAGAGAAGGAGCTCAAGGACACCTGCATTATCGAAATGATCGGTAACGAATGAGAAGGACACGCAGGGCCCTGATTCAGTCAGTCGGCCATACCCTGATTCTCTGCGTGTGTGTATCGTGTGCGTGTGTGCGTGTGTGTGCAGGGCAGACGACGTTCATCGCTGACCCGACCAAGCCCGATGCCGAGCCCAAGAAGTTCGATTTCGACTTCTCTTACTGGAGCCACAATCCCTCAGACCCCACCTTCGCCACACAGGAAACCATCTAGTCAGTCACATCCACACGACAAGACAAGAGGCCGGGAATACCTGTGGGTGTATTGTGTGTCTTTGTGTCTCATACGTCTGGTTGCAGCAAGGACCAGGGCGAGATGCTCCTCAAGAACTCGATGGAAGGCTTCAACAGCTGCCTCTTCGCATACGGGTGAGAGACACGTACAGAGAGGGAGACACAGATATGCAGACAGACAGACAGGCAGACAGGCAGACTGATGTTTCCTGCTTGCTCCCTTAAGGCAAACGGGTTCGGGCAAGAGCCACTCAGTGATCGGGACGCCGACAGACAAGGGACTGCTGCCACGAGTAAACAGCAACCGACTCGAGATGCGGACCTTGTGGAAGGAAGGGATTCTGGTCTCTGTGTCGCTTTCAGGTGTGCGAAGGGCTGTTCAAGATCATCGAGGAGGGGAAGAAGAGCGGCACAGTGGGCAAAGACCAAATACACACACGGGGGGCGAGACGATCGATCGTGTAATTGGCTTGCAGGCAGAGTATCAGGTGCTCATCAGCTTTCTGGAAATCTACAACGAGCGCATCAAAGGTGGCAAAGACAACGAACTACGCAAAGAGGGAAAGAAAGATGGAACTGTTTTCTCTCTGTTTTTGGTATGCATGAATGTATGATAAGATTTGCTGCTGCCGCCGACCAAGGAGGAGGCCAAGGCGCTGGAGATCCGCCAGCACCCACAATTGGGCGTCTACATCCCCGGACTCACCGAATCAGCCGCCGTCTCATTCCACGTAACTGACTGACACGGCTGGCATATGTCTATCTGTCTGTGCGCATCGCATGGATGGAATGCAGGATGTGGAGCAGCTGCTCGATTTCGGCAACAAGAACCGCACCATCGGGTCCACCAACATGAACGCCGTCTCGTCTCGATCCCACGGCGTGTTCGTTGTCAAATTCCTGCAAGTCAGTAGGACACGTTAATGCGGTGCCAGTTGGGGAACAGACGAAGGTGTGTGCGGCATCTTTATCGGTTGTCACTGACAGACGATGGTCGAGGACGGCTCCAAGAAGCAACGCCGCTCGCAGATGAACCTGGTCGACCTGGCGGGCAGCGAGAGACAAAAGAAAACAGGTCAAGTGATCCATGTGTATCTGTGTGGTCAAGACACCATTTGTCTGCCTGCGTGCCTGCGTGCCTGTGTGTGTGTGCAGGCGCTGAGGGTGACCGTCTGAAGGAGGGTGCCGCCATCAACCAGTCGCTGTCCAACCTGGGAACTGTCATTTCGGGACTCGCAGAGAAAGCAGGAGGTCATCCAGTCGGCACCAATGCGTTTGGCTACATAGACATGCATATGGCGTTGCACGTATGTGCTGTGTGTCAGGGAAGAAGGGCGCTCACGTGCCTTTCCGTAACTCCAAGCTGACATACCTTCTCAGGTGCTTTGCCGAACGAGACACACACACACACATACACACATTTGCTTCCCTGTGTGTCAGCGACTCGTTGAGCGGCAACTCCAAGACGGTGATGATAGCTGCGCTGTCGCCGGCCAAGTCCAACTACGAGGAGACCCTCTCCACTCTCAGGTTCGCCGCCACGTGCAAGAAAGTCAAGACACACGCCAAGAAGAACGAGGAGTCGGATGAGAAGATCGTCGCCTCGCTGCAAAAAGAGATCGAAAAGTAAGTATGTATGCTGGGCGACTTCACGCGCTGACCTTGTGGATGTGTGTGTGTCTTTATGTGTGTGTGCGTGTGTGTGTCCGTTGTCAGGCTGAAGCTGCAGCTCATGTCTGGTGCTGGTGGCGGCATAGCCTCGGATGAAATCAAGAGACAGCTGGCGGAAAGGTTGGCGAGGCGCCTGACCTTCTGTCTGTGTTCTGATGTGTGCGCGTGTGTGTGTGTGTGTGTGTGTCAGAGAGGACCTGGTGAACCACTACAAGACCTCATGGGAAGAAATGGTATCAATGCAGAGACGGGCAGCGAGTGAGCACGACGTCCGTTGTGTTTGTGTGGTGGTGCCTCAGATGCGCAAGACCCAGGAGATGAACCGCATCCGTGAAGAAGCCATGCGACAAATGGGACTCCACTCTGCAGATATCGGTAGTGTGTTTGATGTGGAGAAGGAGTGCCCCTACCTCCTCAACATCTCTGATGACCCCATGCTCTCCGGTGCGCCTGCCTGTCTGCCTGCCGGCCAGCAGACAGCTGCCGCGAGCCGTCACGTCTTCCTGACATATCTGTTCGTGTCTCCATTACCAGGGTGCCTGATGTATTTCCTCAAGAACGGCGAGGACACCACCATTGGAAGCGAAGAGGTGAGAGCCGGCCAGTCGATCCGCATGTCGGTGTCTCATTGTCACTGGTCATTCACGTCTATCAGGAGTGCACCATCACTTTGAAGGGTCTCGCCGTCCATTCCCGAATGTGCACCATCACCAATGTCGACAACTCGCACCTTGTCATTACTGGTAGGCCGCACGCACACCTACATGCCTACATTCACACAGGACAGAGACATGCATCGTTGCATGATCCCGATCCCGCATAGTGCCGTCTGACGGTTCTGAGAACCGTGTGCTGGTCAACGGCCGTCGGGTGGACACCAAGGGTAGCACACTCCACCACCATGACCGGCTCGTCATCGGACGTGCCTTTGCATTTCGTCTCGTCGTTCCCAAGGAACTGGAGGTGCGCAGCGGAGGCATGAATGACACTGAAGATATATAGAGACACTGCCGTGTCTGCGGGCTTCCCTTGTGGCTTCAGACGATGAAGTCCGTTGGTATGACAAAGCAGCAGACACTTGACGAAAACGAGTCCTGGGACCTTGATAAGGTATGCACCGCAACGCAGCTGGCACTCAGACCACAAAGTCCATCCGTCAATCCATCCATCCATCCGTGTGTCAGGTGTTGGGTGAGGTGGTGGATGAGGAGAGCCAGTCGTTCGTGCAGGCCAAGGCATACATCGAAGAGCTCAGGGTACCCACTGCATACTGACTTCCGGCCGACCGTATTATACATCCATGTGTGTGTATTGTTTGCAGGGCCGCATAGGCGAGTACAAGGCTCAGGCGTTCCTGCATTCGTTCAGCAAGGCCCAGAAGCTGGTCGACGAGGCCAACGACATCACCAAGGAAATCAGACCAAAGGACAGACTCAGGTGCACTCCCACTTCCCCACACACACGAGGCACTTTGCTCATCAGACCGCTTCCATCAGGTTCTCCCTCGAGGTGATATCTGACGTGTACACGTATGAGTCCGACGAGCCTGAGTTCATCGTCCGTCTGTGGCGCGACAAGTCGGCCAAGCAGAAGTTCCAAATGATTGTCCGTCAACTGAGGAAACCGGGGCTCATGGAGGTCTTCAAGAAGGCCAAACACACATGGAAACCTGACCACAGGTCACTGCGCCACACACAGAAAGAGATTGATCAGATGCCATGGCTCTGCGTGTATGGCGACGTAGGCACGCGGACGTCCTGTACGCATGGGAGTTGGACAAGTTCCTGGAGCGCCTCGAGCTCATGCGAGACGTGTTCCAGCAGTACCTCGAATCAGGTGGGTAGGTTGGGGGGTGGGAAAACGGCAGAGACACACACATCCGTATGTGTCTCGTGCTCATCCGTTGGTTTGTTCGTGCAGGTACTGTTCATCTGGTCCCTGAGACGGATCCCTGGTTGGAGGCGTCACCCACCGACGTGGCCAAGCTTCTCGACACAGAGAAACTCAAATCACAGCTCGAGAAATGCAAACTGGAGCTGCAAGAGAGGGAGGAAGAGGTCACAAACCATCCATCCCTCCATTCATCCCTCCCTCACCCATCTGTCTGTCTGTCTGTCTGTCTGTCTGTGTCTCTCCCACTCACTTATCAGGTTCAAAGTCTGCGATTGGCGTTGGAGGGCGATGAGTCGCCGATCGCCAAGATGCGGGCGATGATCGAGGGGACGGCGGGCGAAGAGGATGAGATGGACGGCCTCGATGAGGGGCTGGAAGAGGGCGCCGCTGAGGGGGAGGCAAAGGCCAAGCCAAAGAAGAAACCCGAGATGGCCAACAAAATCAAGGAAATGAACGACCAGAACCTGCAGGTCAGTGCGCAGATGCGTGAACCATGTGGTCCATATTTATATATCGCGTGTCTCTATGTCTTGGTGTATCTTGGTCGTGCAGGAGATCCGTCGGATCCAGAACCACGCTCAGGAGATTCAGAGAATATTTGGCAACATGGAAGACATGTACAACGAATGGGACTCATGGATGAGGTGAGTGCAGTCAGAAAGCAGAAATGGACGCCCATTTTCTGTTATCTGTCTGTTGTCGTTCCAGCAATTTCAAGACCGACAAGAGATAGGGGTCGCGCTCTTTTTACACACCCGATGCACACGGGTTTTTGTGTTTCGGCGGGGGAGGGGAAGGAGGGTGGGAGGGAGGAGACTGGGCTGTGCGTAGGACGTCCACCACGAAATCGGTGTTTTGCTCACAGTGTGCCACTTGCAGTCAGCCATCCGATCCATGCATTCATGTATTGTATTGCTGTCTGTCTGACCGTCTGCTACATGAAGACACGTACCCACGTCCATGTGTCCGTCTGTCTGTCCTTCCATGCCGTCACGTGTTTGCGATGAGTCGATACATGAGGTGACACGGTAGTACGGTACACAGAGACTGCTGCTGCTGGTGCTGGAACATGTCCGTGCTGTGTGTGTTGTGTATGTGTGCGTCACGCGCAAACATGAGGGGGACTGACTGGGCCAACATCAAAGACGGCACCTTCCACTCGACTCGAGTCAAAGGGAGGGGGAGAGAGAACTCATAACACTGACAACCAACCAACACACACACACGGAGAAGGAGAGAGACACGAGTGGATGCGTCCCGTTCAATCCTCTCACCTGGTGTTGCATGTGTTCCTTCTGTTGCTTGTCCATGTCATCATCCGCTGCTCGACTGGACAGAGAGCGGGCTGCAGAGCTAGCGCACACACCACACACACAACATCCCACATAAAGCGGCGCCCTCCCCCGTCACACACGTCTCTTTCCGTCTCGTGTTCGCACCTGTCTGTGTCGCAGATGGCTTCTTGCTGTGGATGGGGAGTGCTGCTGTGGCCCTGAGGCTCACAATTTGACGCCGCCGCCGCCGCCGCCGCCGCCGCCTGATGCCCCTGGTTGTCCATGAGTGCGAGGAACGGTCGTGGCGTCTGTGCTTGCATGAGTGTGGCGAAGGCTGGGGGCTCTCGCTGCTTCTCTGCAGGTGTCTTGAGGTCCTGCTCCTCACGCGCCTCGCGAGACACAGGGATGGTCTGTAGGATCTGCAGAAGTGGCTTTTCTCGATCTGCAGCGGAAAGACTGAAGAGGGACAAAGCCGGAAAGCCATTGATCGTAGTCAGGGCGGGCCGGCTGCAAATGGTCACAGAGAACAAATGGAGAGAGAGATATGGGAAGGCCGTTCTCCATCTGTGTACCTGTCTGGCTGTCGCACGCTGTCGGCCTGTTGTGACCTCTCCTGCTTGCAAAAAGGCGGCAGCGGAGAGGACGAATCGGGACTCAACTGAGTGAGAGGTAACAGCGCATACATACACCTATAGTCTGGCCAAAAGGGTCATTGTGTGTCTCGTTCAGTACCTCAAGCACAGCAGGGAAATTGAGTCGGCGAGCGCCCGCACTGGGATCTCCGCAGGCCTCTTCCACACAGCTCTCCTCATCGGCACACTCCTCCGCACACACACCACTGCACACACACGCACAAGTACCGTCAATGGATGGATGGATGAATGGATGGATGGGTGGGTGGCTACACTTGTTCCTGCACAGTCACTCACTTGTCAACTTGTGCATGCGATGCTTCGCCACAGCCGACCCCCTCGCCATCTCCGTTCCCACACGCCCCCGTTGGCCACTGATCGCTCTCCTTCATGCACATGGCGGTCGCCCCATTCACGTTCATGGTGGTCTGCTCTTGCTGCGGCTCATGGTCGTTTGCCCCCACACTGATGGGCGGCGGCTGCTGGAGGGTGAAGGGCACGCCGCCATCCGCACCAGGAAGTGAGAGTGCATTCCTGATGCAAACACATACATACACACGCACACACACACACACACATACACACAGACATACAGGAAATGAACCGTCTGATCCGACCATCCCTTTTCCCGCACTTGAGTGCTGCGGCTTTGGCGAGCTGCAGCATGTTGGTGTCTTTGTGGCGTGACAGGGGAGGGGTGGGTGGCTTGGCGAAGGGGCGGTCGGGGCGTGCGAAGACGGATGATGGGTGGGCGAAGTCGGGCTCGTCATCTCGACAGTCGGTCAGTGAGGGCTGCAAAACCAATTCATATGGGGTCAGGGACACTGGTGGCTGCCTCTCCTGCTCTTATCACCTGGTCATGAATCACTCTGGTGTCTGCAGGGAATGGCTGAAACGGCTGCTGCATGGTGGCATGCGGCCGGCCGCCCATCAGCCCCGATGCGCGCCGCTCTTGCAGCTGCGACATCGGATCCCACCCGTCACCCACTTGCTCGCCAGCAAACGGACCACCGATCGACGCCGGACGCCGCCATCCACCATCACCCCCCTGACGAGATGCCTGCGGGTCCCTCACAACTGCAGCCGCATACCCCTCCAGCGGTCCTCCCATAGCCGAGAGCGATGAGGATGGCTGCATCCATCCGTCTGAGGCGGTCAGCGTCGTGTGAGTGTGCTGTGGGGCGGGTGGGTGGCGCTGCAGGAAGAATGGTGCGTTGTCACGTCGAGGATGGTCCACTGGGGCGGCGGGAGGCATGAGCTCGAACTGGCCTTGCACGGAGGGTGGTGCGTGAGCAAGAGGACGCAGAGAGAAAGTCGAGCCTGAGGCCACCACAGAACACACAGACACGTTTCGAGGAGATGAAACGACCTTCTTAATTAGCTAACCGATGTCATTGCGATTGTGGTGCTGTTGGAAGGATGAGTCGGTGAGCATGTATCTGTCGTCATGTGACGGCCCAATACGCATGGATGAGAGTGATGAGAGTGGCGGGTGAGAGGCAGGAGCCATCGAGGGCCAGGGCGGGTCTGAACCAGCCTTCAGCCTACACACACACAAAAGCACCCACGATCCATCGTCAACACACATGCGTAACAAAGTCCCTCACCGAGACGACATCAGCGGCATTTCCCCATCCCGCCAGTCCCCCGCAACCCTCCGCTCAGATGGCCACTCCACCGCACCCCTCACCCACACATCGCTCTCCTCAACACGCTCGCGTGGTAATGGCCTCAGAAGGAAGCCTGACTCCGACGTGTTGTCACTGAGCGCTCGGAGTCCGCCACCACCAACCGTGGCACCTTCCGCCTGTCGGAAGATGGTCGAAGGCGGCAGCAGGCCAGGGGCATTATCGAACGGACGCATGGAGGAGGCAGCGGCGGCTGGAGGGCGGTTGAGTTGGTGCGATTGGTTGGTGTCGATGGGTGCTGGCAGGGAGGGCGCAGAGGGCTTGAGGAACGCCTGGAACGGCTGCTCCTCCCTCTCCCTGACACATCCACCTCACAGGCAGCCAATGTACACACACACATGTCTGCCCCATCATATGACAAGCTCACGGGTGGGAGTTGCGTCTGCTGCGATACATGGGAATCTTTGGCGCGCTGATGACGTCCCCTCCTGCCGCCCCTGCTTCCTGGTCATCCACCGACGCACGATACGATGGCTGGCCGATGGAACGACTGACAAACACCAAACCAAAACAAACCACACCAGACCACGCACGCAAGAAGAGAGTGAGTGAATGAATCAGACGAAGGCCGTCGAACTCTCACCGGGATGGAGGAGCGAGGCTCATGGGCAGGTCGGGCTTGGGCTTGGATGACGCATCGGGCTTCAGCTGCTCATCGGGCTTGCGGTTCCGCTTGCGATGCAACTCACGCTCCTCATCCTCCTTCCTGTATACACACACACAGGCAACACAAAGACCAACAGAATGCCGATGCATCCCCGTCTGTTTGGCCCTCATCATCATGACTTGTATTTGTCGACGATTGACTCTTTGCTCTTGCGCGGCCGGAGCAACTGCATGGAAATCTGCTGGTAGGTCGGATCACTCTGATTGCCGTCTTCCTCGGCCTGCAGCCTGGCTCTCTTCTGCACCACACAAACACACATACAGACAGCTGAATGAGTCACTGACCGGTTTTCTCCACATTCACCCATAGTTTTTGTCTGCTGACCAGGAAGTACGACTTCTGAGTGGCCTCAGCGGCCTTGCGCTTGACCCGCTTGACCCTCTGTTGCGCTTGACCCATCCAATTCATGGCTGCCGGCCCCTCACCAATTACGTCATCGGTTCATCGTGCGATTGAGTGGCACTCAGCCTGTTGCCATCTTCATTCACTCCGGATGCGAGATCTGAAGCAAGGCTGCCACAGCTGAGCGGAAGAGCCTGCGGTTTCACGGAATTTGCGAATTTGCGAGCTTAAAGGGAGAAGAGGAAGTGATGCGTTCGGCAACAGAGGGCATGTGGCCTCTCGCCGTTCTATCCCTGTTTCAACTGCTCGAGTTCTGCGGCTCTTTTTCCCACCGTCAAACACTTTTTGTGCCAGGCGCAACGCTGAGGGATCTGGGCAGCAGCCGGAGGGGTGCGCGGCATCGGCTGAGGCTACGCCCCAGCAGGCTGGTGCTCAGCGCCGCCGGCGGATTGGAGAATGAGTCGGAGTCAGATCAAGGGTCTGGCAATGAAGATGCGCAGCCGAGCGGCGAGGCATCTGGCGAGGGCAGGCAAGACGGCAAGGGTGATGCGGGCGCCGCGGGAGCCAAGGCAGGCCCTGCTAAAGAAGAGAGCCTGGCTGACCAGCTGGAGAATCCTCAGGTCAGCCAAGGCGAGGGAGGGAGGTGGCATGGCGGTAGGGTTACGTGTGTCCGTGTCGGGTGGTGTGTGGTTGTTGTGCAGATTGAGTGGTATGACCCCGAGAACCCCCCCACGCTGTCTTTTGACGTCTTCTCGACTGGCAAGGCCCGCGAACTGCCGCTCTTCCCTCTCGAGACGATCGTCTTTCCGTACCAAAATCAGACTCTCCTTTTGTTCGAGCCGAGGTACATCAAGCTGCTCAAAGACATCACCAGACAACGTACGCAAGAAACGACGGAAAGGCCACGCAATCAACCATGTCCACAAGTGTCTTCCTATGCCTCCCTCCCTCCCTCCCTGCCTCCCTGTATCAGCTCGCGCCAAGCAGTTCAGCAGTGAGGGCGGCTCGTCCTTCGACAGCAGCACTGGCGAGAACGAAGACGAGGAGGCTTTGCAGAAGCCGGGTGACTTTTGTTTTGGGATGCTGCTGCCTGAGAAGGTGGCGCCGGGGCAGGCAGGGCAGGAGCCGAGGGCGCAGCGGTACAGCAGGATAGGCACCATCATCAGGGTGGAGGACTTTAACCTACTCAGGCCCGATGGAAGGTAGGCAAGAAGTGAATCTGTCCATGTCATTTATGTATGTGTGTTGTGTGCTTTGTGCGTGTGGTCAGTTTGTATCATATCCGCGGTCAGGGTATTCAGAGGTTTAAGCTGCTCAAAATTATGAGGGACAGCGACCGATACTCCAAAGACTACATGAGGTACACACATCATGTGCACAGAACACCCACACCACACCTGCATTCGTGCATTCGATGTGTCGGCATCTGTCCTGGTGCAGCGGTCTGGTGGAGCCGATCGAGGACAACCCAACCAACGACACTCACAGTAACGCCAGCAAGACGAGCCAGGCATGACACACACGCACGTTGTCCGTGTGTTGGTCGTTGTGCAGCCTTGGTGTCGTTGGAGGATGACGTGTGGGACATCGTGTCGTCCATCATCAACATCGACACAGACACATTCAACCTCAACCACACTCAAAACTTACGGTAACGCGCACACTTACATGATCTCTTTGCTCTCACCCCACGCCCCTGTCGCACATGTATGTGTGATGTGTTGATTTGGTCAGTCCTGAGGAGCGTCGGAAGCAGCTGCCCCAGCCGCGAACGTGGGAGCATCTGGTGCGCACATCATTCGATCTTAGCGAGCTGCTCACCGGACTCAGGTCAGAACTTTGCACTGCACTCACCGCATGGCCATGGCAGCAAGACCGGCATCCATCCCTCCCCTCTTTGCCGTGTTCGTGTGATCTCTGTGTGTGCAGTGTTCGGCACAAGCAGTATCTCTTGCAGACCACTGACACAGCCGAACGACTCCGGTAGCCATGAGCTAACACCCACAGTCCGATAGATGAATGACCAGTGAATGCATACATACGTGCCTTTGTTTTCCTCTCATCAGGTACATTTATCGTCTGTTGGATCGTGCGCGTGCGTATCGGTTAGCCAAGGCGGCCATCATGAATGCCCTCAAGGAGGAGGAGGGCGGCGGCGACAGCTCGGAGATCCCCAAGGGCAGCGGCAGCATGGGGGACGGGGGCAGCCAAAACATACCCAGGTGGTCATGACAGCACCGGACAGCGGCCTCTTGCCGGATTTGGCGCATGGATGGATGGATAAGAGTTTGTTGTTTTGCCTGCCTGCCTGCCTGTCCTGCCGAGAACGGTTTTTTCCAGCCAGCCAGCAAGCCAGGTGAGCATGTGTCTTCCCGAGAAATATCAGCAGTGTGTGTACATCAACATACACAGTGATGAGGGAGTCAGCGAATGAGTCATATACTATTCACGCATATGCTCATTCAGGCCAGTGGAGTGTATGTGCCGTGTGTCGTGTGCTGTCTGTGGCGCCACCTGTATGTCCGCCCTATTTGTTAGCCATCAATCACTCTATCTATCAGCCTTTTGGTGGAAGCTAAGCTCTCTATCTGTCTGTGTCTGCCTGGCTCTCCATGCTGCCCCCGTCTCTCTGCCTGAGGGTGTTTTGCCTGCGATGAAGTCAAGGGAAGGGGCGCCCGTCCTGTTCTCATGTGTGTGTCGTACGGAAGTCTGTCTGTCAGCGTGTGATCTTCCTCCGTCAGCATGAGGGAACGCTTATCCGCTCGGCGTTGAGTCGATCGAGTGGCACGGCATCCCCTGGTTTTGTATGGAGGAGGGTCGCACGGCATGGCAGACAGACAGGCACGCTGACTGACACGCAAGAAGCCCCACACAGCATGGATCGCTGCTTGACTGTCTGTCCACGCATCTCACCCTGCCTGCCAATGCACTCACTCCACTCATACGGATTTTTGCTCCCCAACCTGCCAGGACCACTCGTGCGTGCGCTTCGTCCCTTGATTGAAATGTACATACGCTGGCTGTGCGGAAGAGCCTCACAAGTTTACTGCTGGAAGGGGGAGCCAAGGATTGCACCTGCATTCACCACGATCTGCCACCATCGACCCAAGGACAGCACTGCGTGGCCTTCAGCAGGAGGAAAAGCTGCGGGGAAGAGTCCCGATCGACTTTGGCCACAGGTGCGTCTCCAGTACACAAACTCAAAGATCCGTCCGGAAACGCTGGTGGTTGTCGGTGTATCCACCGCCTCCCCCTCTGTGCTCTATCGGCCTCCCTCGCCTGCCCTCAGATCTTTTTGCCACAGCGCCTCTCCCTTTCTCCCTGCCAAAGGCATAATGCGTGTCGTCGCATCTGCTGTTTGCTGCCTGTTGTTGGCTGTGGCTCACGCCCAGCACCACCACAGCGGCCATGGGAAGAAGGGCTACACTCCCCCTGTGCATTCTAAGCAAGTGCCCGTGACCACCTACAGGTTCGGTGGGGTGATAGATCTGCCTGGTGGTGTCGGGATCCATCGATGAATCTCCGTGCTTTGTGCGCCTTTGTGTGTTGTGTCTGTTGTGTGATGCAGCTACACGTGCCCCAAGGGGTATGAGGGCCCATCAGAGGAAGGCAAGGGCGCCACCTGCAGCAAGACCACCAGCTACCCTGCGAAGGTGACCTTGCACGCCACGCCACACACAGAGAGCCATCCACCCCCCACCCACGACTCGTGTGTGTCTCTATCTCTTTTCTGTCTCAATCAGCCCCAGTGTCCGAAGGGCACGACAACATCAGGCGGCGGCAAGAACGGCATGACGTGCACCACCACGGACACCAAGCCATACGAGCTCGTCTGCCCCGGCGGGTATGACATGCACAAGGGCACCTGCAGACAGGAGACCGCCGCAGCCCCAGAAACATACTGCACCAAGGGATACGAAGACGATGGTAGGTACTTTAGCACACCACAGTGGCCACCAATGAGGGAGGGATGACCGCAGTCACCCATGCCATGTGTCCCCCTGTGCGTGTGTCATCCCATCCAGGCACCCAGTGTTCCAAGACGACCACAGTGAACAAGATCACCTACTGCACAAAGGGCACGCTCGAGGGCGGCGAGTGCAAGGAGAGGAGCACGTTCGACGCCACCTATGAATGTCCCGACGACTACACGGTGCAGGGCACCAAGTGCTACAAGGAGACCTCCGTGCCCAAGGAGAACTACTGTCCCGACGACCACACCGACACCGGCACCGAATGCCAAAAGGCCGAAACCAGGGACTACATCATGTATTGCCAGCCCGTAAGCGAGCCTGGGTGGGTGTCTGGTTTGTGAGTGCTGGCCATCATGCGTGTGTTGTGCGTGTGGCGTGTGATGGTTGGTGTCAGGGCTACACCAAGGTGGGCGACAAGTGCGAGAAGAAGACCGTGACGCGCCCGAAGTACGTTTGCCCCGACAGCTCCTCGCCCTCGGGCAAGAAGGGGTACTGCTACGAGACGACCGCGGTGCCGATGGAGTACTACTGCCCGACCGTACGCGCAAAAATAAACGGATGAAACAAATGACATAACACATGAAACAAATGAAACAAATGAAATGACATACCACACCATCCGTCGTGTGTGTGTGTGCACAGGGCTACGACGACGCGGGCGAGGCGTGCACACGCACGTCTTCTGTCTCCGGGATCGGCTACTGCACCAGTGGAAGCAAGGTCACTACCCCCTTGCCCCCCCACCCACCCCCACACTCGGTGTGTGTGTGTGCATCAATCAGGGCAAGGGCGGCGAGTGCACCTCGTATACGACGATCACCGCGGCCAAGTTCTGCCCCGACGACTACACCGACACGGGCACTGGGTGCTCCAAGAGTGAGGCCGCCGCCAAGGTCACCTCCTGCCCCAAGGGATACTCGTCCTCCTCTCACACCGACCCCAACGGAGCCGCAATGTGCGAGCTCTGCGGCCAGGCATCCGACAAGAAGACGTCGGCCTGCTCGTACAAGCCAGCCATGAGCCAGTGAGCGCCAGAATGCACACGTGCACGACACGAGGAGAGTGCTGGATAGATGGATGGATGGATGGATGTGTGTCATGACAGCTGCCCGCCTGGGTACCACACGGGCGAGAGCAAGGACTCGTGCACCAAGACCACGACGGCCCCCTACCAGTACACATGCCCCGACGGCACCAGTGGCAAACCCACCTGCTCACAGAAGGAGGTCAGTCCAGTCAGCCAAAGAGAGACCACATCGTGTCGGCCGACACATACATCAATCACTGCACCCATGTGTGTTGCGTGTCAGACGACCCCGATGCAATACCGGTGCCCAAAGGGGTACGAGGGCGACGGCCAGACCTGCACCAAAGTCACGACGGTGTCCAAGATTGCCAAGTGTCCCAAGGGCTACTCCCAGGGCAAGGACACCTGCACCAAGACCACCAGCAGCAAGCCCACACCAGTGTGCGACCAGGGCGAGCTCAACGGCGGCGGCTATTGCACAACTGTCGAGGAGATCCCTATGAGCACCAAATGCCCCACTGGCTACGAGGACACCGAGGGCAAATGCGTCAGGATTTCCAAGCGACCGTAAGCAAAAGCAAAAGCACAAGACGCATACAGGACGGTCCTTCCCCCTCTCTCTCTCTCTGTGTATATGTGTGTGTGTGTGTGTGTGTGTCAGGTATCTGGTGAGGTGCTCTGATGCCGCTTACCAGCTGCCCGACTGCAAGAAGACTGAAGTCACCGATGCCACCCCCAAGTGCCCTGAGGAAGCAGTAGAAAGGGGCGGAATCTGGTCAGTCAGCCACCCAGAGAGGAAAGGATGACAACTCTTACTCCCTACTCCCCCTCTGTAACACTTGGCGCATGCAGCACCAAGGAGGAGACCTACCCAGTCGCGGAGAAGTGCCCTGACGGATACGACGACGCCGGCGGTCAGCCGATACCCCTCCGCCCTCACCCACCCCATCCACACACACACGCCTCACACCTTTCCCCCGTCCCTCTTTCGTCATGCAGAGAACTGCAGCAAGACATCTGTGTTGCCCTACCAGACCAAGTGTCCCAAGGGCTACAGCATGAGGAACGGCGCGTGCGTGACATACAAGACGGAGAGCCCAACCAAGGTGTGCCCCGATGGGTATGACCTCGGCACCGGGCACAGCAAGGGCGGCTACACGTCGCACGGCAAGAAGCGCGAGTTGGGGCGCCGCCGCCGCCGCAGGAGCAAGAAGAGAGTGAGGGGCTACAGCAAGCACCACAAGGCTGCCCCTGCGGCGACCGAGGTCTGCGTCAGCGAGACTTCTTACGCGCCAGAGTACTACTGTTCGAAGGGGGCTGAGTTGGTGGGTAAGGAGTGCACGACGGTGTCGACCATAGCCGCCCATAGGCAGGCGCACACGACCTACACCAAGCAGACCTACCAGGCACCCGCACCCACACACAAGAAGGGCTCCTACTAAAGAGCACCACACGGACACACAGAGAGAGAGAGGGGAGAGGCGGCCGTACGTGTACGTGTACCTGTGAGAGTCCATGGATGAGTGAGAGAGAGAGAGTTGCACTACTTGCTACCTCTGCTTTCTACTTTGTGGCTCTTAGTTGTCTCGTTTCTCGTCTGTTTCTTGCATCAGTGCAGCGAGTCGGCTCCGCCTCGCCCCGACCTCGTGGACCGGCCACACACACACACACACACGCCTATCGCCCTGGTGGGTGGGGCGGGGCGGGTGGTGGTGAGCGGTGGATGAGGTTGGGGGGAGGGGTGGGGAGGGGAGAGGGCAGTCTGTATGTCCGTCCGTCCGTCCGTCCGCCTGTCTGTCTGTCTGTCTGTCTGTCTGTCTGCCCGTGTGTGTGTCAATGACGGCCCTCTTCTCTCTCGGTTCCCAGTGCGTTGAGCCGCCTGCATACGTATGTATACTTTACATGTATGAAGAACGTGGTTTGTGGAGTAATGGGTGGATGGGTGGATGATACTCTCGTGCGTGTCGTTCGCGTGCACACACCATGCCATGCCATGCCACACTACACACACCATGACATAACACCACACAACACCACAAGACAAGATTGATTGCGTGTATGTATATACATGCATACACATGCATACATACATACATGCATACATACATAAATACATAATGCATGCACAACGACACGCAGTACACAACGGCCATACTCTCTGTATGTACGTATGTACGCCTGCTTTCTCTCTCGGTGGGCGCGTTTACGTGTCCCTATCGACCTACCTACCTATTCTACTAACTCTGTCTGCATGTCTGCCTTTCTGAGGTCTGTCTGTCTGCTAGGTCTGTCCGTCTGTTCTCCGTCTGGCCGTATCGCAACTCGTTTCTGAGAAGCGCGGCAAGACGGTCAGCCAGGTACACAGGCAAATGAATATGCGGGCCGGCTGGTGTGCCTCTCATCCACTCATCATTGCACCCATCCATCCACGCGCACACGCTGCAGTGCCCCCACGCGCCGTGCCTGCCTGCTGTAGCTGGCTGACGGTCGACCGCGCCGTGGGCAACTCATTTTTCTCGACCAGAGAGCCTTTTCTCGCTTGTCTGCCCGTCCAGTGAGTGTGGTGTGTGTACTGTTCTCGTCTGTGGTATGGTGTGTGTGGTGTATGGTTTGTGTGGTGTGCGTGTGTGTGGTTTGACACAGAGCTCTCTTGGTCGCTTTGCGTTCCCGTGTCAAGAGTGGATGTGTGTGTGTATGGGGGAGTTGCCGAAAGGAGCCTCTCCCAGCCTGTTTGCCTGCCTGCCTGCCTGCCAGCCACTGAGTCGGCCAGCCTTTGGTGTCTCCTTTATCGACTGACTGCGACGACAACAGAACTCCCCTCGTATGCCTGTCTGGATGAATGAATGTACTGCGTGTGTGTGTGTGTACGCATTGTCTGTATGTATGTATGTATCACGGTGTGTGTAAGGTGTATTTGTGCGTAAGGTACGTACGTGTCACTTTTATGTACATACATACATACACACATAGACACATAGACACATACACACATACGCACATACACACACGAGGTGGTAATGTGAAAAGAGGTGAGACACTGCTGGCCTTTCTGTCTCTCTGTCTGTGTGTCTGTCTGGGTGTTGGTTGCTTTCGGTCTGTTTGTCTCTCTCTCTCTCTCTCTCTCTGTGTGTGTGTGTGTGTATGGCTGGCTGGTACGGTTGGTTTTGCCTCGGGGGGCCTTGCAGGTTTTCCACACCGGCCCGCGCCGCGTGATCGATGTTTTCCCCGCGCTGTCTGCCTGGCTGCCTTGATACCTGCCTGTATTGCCTCCCATATGCCTGTATGCCTTAATGTCTGCATGAGTGAGTGTGTGTCCGTCTGTATGGATGAGTGGACGAGTACATGGGGTGCATGGGTCGAGCAGACGGATGAGTGACATGACTGGGTCCGTATCTACCTGCCAGCCTGCCTAGGTAGGTATGTGTGTGTGTCTGTGTGTGAGGAAGGGCGTTCAGACGCCTGGCTCGCCTGACTGGGTGGCTCGACCAGCCGAGTGGATGTCAGCAACTACCGAAGTCCCTCCCTCCCTGCTGCTCAGTACAGAAGGTAAAACGAGTTTTCATTCACCGACAGCTGTTTGCACCTGTCTGCATCAGCACACTAGTTTATTTATCAACGTCTCAACACACACGAGGGACATAAGAGGGAGAGAGAGACTGTCTGACTGAGAGAGAGATATATTCAAGAGAGGGGTGGCGAGAGGGAGCGAGAGGGGTTGTCCTGATGCTGTTGTTTGCAAGCTCATTCATACACCTAAGGGGCTGACCAACGACTGTTGCCACGCCGCCTGACTGCCTGCCTCCCTGTCTGCCTGTCTGCCTGTCTGTCTGTCTGTCTGAGGGATACATTCGCTGTTCAGAGAGAGGGGAGGGAAGGGGTTCTGTTTTGACACTGGTTCTGCTGGGATTCTATATAACGCTAGCTTCTTTACATGCTCATGCTCAGCGATCGTTTGTTTCCCTCCCTAGCTGCCGGGGTGGTTTTCCTTTCCACGAAGAAAACACACATACATTGCAATCATTGCATGTACGCGTCCCGTACCAGACCTGACGTGACTGCTCCATATTTGTGGCTGCTACAGTCGAGTCGGAGCGATGAATCGATCGAGGCTGGGTTGGTTCGTTCATTCATTCATACATGGCCATGGCTGCCTGCATCCATCGGTGCGGTGTGGTGTAATGTGATCATGACGTGTCTAGAGAGGGAGGCCGTGAGGTTGACCACATACTACGTCTCATTTCATACAAACGTGGATATGTATCGATGGCGGTGGGCTGTGTGTACATGTGTACCGACGCCAAATGAATGAATGAATGAACGAACATGAGCCACGAAAGACTAGGAACAAGACACATTTCACCGCCCACACGCACCACCCATCTAGACACGTGCGTTGACTGTACAACCAGCATACACGAGTCCGTGAATCCATCCATCCATCCATCCACCATATATCCTCTTTATATGTACACAAGATATGACCTGTCGATTGCGATAGACGTCAGTCAATTGATCAGCCATTCATCCATCCGTCCACCCGTCATCACCCAATCAGTAGCGTCGGCCGAATATGAAGACCTCAGGAGAAGCAACACCGCCTGAAGAAGGGCCACAGACAGATCGACAGGCACAAAAATGAGACATGCGCCACATACAGGAGATCCGCCGGTCTCTCTTCTTTCGTACCATCCTGCCCCTCGGCTGAGGCAGACGGCGCCGCCGAGGCAGTGGACCCGCTGCAGACAGACAGACAAGACAACGGACAACACATGACGATCATGTGGATGGACTGGCTCACGGGCAAGAGCCGGTGTGGTGTCGTGTGTTGCCTCACCTGTCGACGTGAGCTGGGCGATCATCGACGCCCGCCCTGTTGGATGTTAGGGCGTTTGAAGAGGACGATTCGGTGACGACCCTGCAAACAGAACGAACAAGACCAGCAGAGGTGACGTGCACTCGATGTATTGGTGTATCGCTCACCCATCGCGAGATGCCCGTCCGAGCTCCGCTTTCAGCCTCGCAATCTCTGCCCTCAGCCGTGCTATCTCTACGTCCTTGGCCGCCGACTCACTGAGGGCAACAACACACATATGGGAGGACAACCACACCTCGTTGCTCGGCCGTGTGTCTTTCTCTCTGTGTGCTGCACCGACCGACGGCTGTATCGCAGGAGATCTCTGTCGGCCTGAACACACACACACACACACACACGTGTTCACCACTTCCCGTTCTCCCCCCCTTCCTCCCTCACCGGCCCACCCACCGGCTCACCTTGGCCTCCGTCACCAGGCGGAGAATCGCCGCCGTTGGCAGCAGCAGATTGGCCGCAACGGCACGATACGCCTTCTCCTGCTGCGCCTGATCTTGGACCATCAGGGGAATGACATGCTTGACGAATGCACGGACGTCCTCCTCCGTCGACGAGGGATGCTTCGTGAGGCAATGTGACGACGCGACCTTGTGACACATCCCCGGCGTCATGTCGTTCATGCCCTCGCACCAGTGCAGCAGCAGGGCGAGCGGGCGCTCGACGGTGCCCACAGCCATGTGACACATGTGCCCGAGGATCGCCACTTGCACCTCACCACCCACCGACCTGAGAGAGAGAGAGAGAGAGCAAACGCATGGCTGACTTTTCAGTGGCCGTGAGGGTCATGGATGGTACACCTACCTTGCCATTTTGTTAACGGCCGCCCACCTCTCATCCTTGATGCATCTGCCCAGGTACTGCAGTGCAAGCGTGGCATACGGGTGTCGCGCCACGGTCAGCGTGAGCCGCACGTCTTTGAGCACTGCGTCCGCCGCCCCGCTCTCCACCAGCTTGCCGACCGCCAGATTGTCCACCTCGACCGCGACGACGTTCTCCACGCCAGACAGATGCAGACCGACTGACGAGGCGAAACGAGCGGCTGTGTGGAGCGTGACGGGCGCCTGGTTCCCCTTCGGAGGCTCGACGGTGAAGGCGCCGCTGATTGAGAAGCATGGTGCGCCTCCGGGGGATGATGATGTCAACCCCGGAGACGCGAGGACTTGCCAGCTGGCGACGTCCACCACCTTCCTGTCTGGGTAGCCGGCTCCGCCCAGTTTTTGCAAGGTGCGGCGACAACGACACCGATTCTTGTCCGTGCACCGACACACCGTGCCCTCAGGTCGGTCCCGCCACCCTTTCACACCCGACGCGACGTGCCGAGCCCGCAGAAAGGTCGGGATGGCCGTGACGTCACGGAAGGGCACACAGGCGGCTCGTTCGTCGCTGTCGAAGGGCGTAATCGTCGTGGTGGTGTGCAGAGCGTGGTGGCGGTCAGCAAACACCTTGTCTGCATTTCCATGCACGGCACACATACGAGTGCACAAGTGGGAAAGATCTGCTCAGTCACGTACACAATGCATCTTGGAGTGTGGGTGACTTGGTGGCGATGGTGAGGAATGTCTCCACCCGTTCAGCGGAGGGTTCCACCAGCGAGATGTGTTGCGTCAGGTGGCTGACCAGGGCGGTGGCGGCCTGTCTGCCCTCGTCCTCCGGCACCCTGTTGTAGACGGGCTGCAGCTGCTCCGGGCTGTCCAGCACTCTCTCGGCCAGCCCCCCCGACCGCACCATCCCTAGCTGGGTGTCGGCCAATTGACACAGCAGGCGGCTGATGGGCGGCTGGTCGTACGAGTCGACCAGGGCGGCCACCCATTCACTGTCGTCAAGGAAGGTATTCGGCTTGAATATCTGCATCATGCACACACGTGTGCAAACAACACGGAATCGGATATCGTACACGGTCGCTTGTCTGTTAGTCGCACACACGGACGGACCTGTGTGACGATGAGCCGCAACGTGTCTTCAGTGATGCCGCCGGTGAAGTACTCCAAGGTCTTGAGGGCGTCGATGAAGTTGTCCTTGGTGAGCGATCTGATCATCCCCGCCTCACTCTGCAGAACCACGGCCGCCAGCCGCGGATCCACATCCACAATGACGATGCGATTGGGCTGCTGCTCCACATCCTGGTGGCGACTGAACTCGAACGACAGCATCTGAATGAATAAATGAATCACACAGACACACACAGACACACACACCGTCCACAATGTGACATACGTTAACTCATAGCGCAACGGCAGGCAGAGTCTGTCGGTCTCTCATGAAACGAACTGTGTCAACGTCGACCAACCAATGATCAGTCAAGTTGACGGTCGCACAAACCGCAGAGAGATGAAGGCATCATTTGACGGCCTTGCTGTGCTGACCGTCTGAAAGTACTGGAAGTTCATCAACCTTTGCCTGGCGACGAGCAGCCGCCGGTCGTCGCCGGCTGCATCGGGATCTTCGAGCCTGATTGAACGAAAACCAGCTCACACACGTCACACTCGGACAGCCTCATCTGAATGGGGAAGCAGCAACAAGCAAGCAACACTGAACGAGGAGGCTATGATGCCTGTTACCTGAGCGAAGCTGTTGCGGAGGTCGCTCATTCCAAAGAGGTTTGTCGCTCGTGCCAGGAATAGTGTGAAGGCGAATTGTGTGTCGTGACTTATAAATCGGAAATTTCTTTCGCAGCGGTTCCATCAGTCAGAGCACCATATAGAAAAGATCAACAGCCCATGCCCTCGATCACGTAGCACTCAATCAATCCCTGCAGCCAGCCATCCTCCTCCATGCACTCACTGTCCTCAGGCAGCACTCACTACGTGACAATAGTCGCAAGAATAGACAGACATGTACACCAACCAGAGGCAATAAATGACTCACATTCCACACACACCACACACACACAGACAGCCCGGCGAAATTCGAAAACGTTAGTGCGAACATGAACATCAAATCGGCGCAAAACGGGCCGTCCCGCCTGTCTCCCGCCCACCCACCCTCCCACCCTCCCACCAGACGCATTTAAGCATTACATGCATACGAAACATGGACATGCAGACGGACGGACACACAACAATCGATCAGCACAAATATGCCTCGATCGATACCAACAGGCATTTGCACTTTCTTTGCACCTACACGGGGGACATGGAAACAGACGCACAGCGACGTGTAAAGGTTCGTCCATGCCATCCATGGATGGGCGGATCTTTGGGAGCCGGAAACGCATCGACCAAAAGGGCCGTCCCCGCCTTGTTTGTTTCGTGACATGTATTATGTATGTGACATCGACAGCCATAAAAAGGCTTTAGCCGTGCTAAAGGAGGGAGACTCCCTTAGCCTGCCTGCCTGTCTGTCTCTGCCCACACTACACAGGACACCTAGCTACCACTCACAGCGGACATCAAATGTCAGATTCGGTACCTTGACCTTCCTTACGCACGTAACCCTCGATCCCTTTACAAGACGACAATCATCGAGTTAACTGGCGGCTCCTCTGATTGTGTGCCCGCTCCTGGTGAGGGTGACACGCCGACTTAGAATACAGCCGGCGTGTCAACTTCCACGAGAGCAAGTACACGTGCAGAGGTCCGCACATACGCACTCAGAGAAACGCAACATCAATCAATCAATCAATCATCCACACACACTCATGCCAAGGCGTACGTATACGCGCGACACCACATTGTCACACAAAACCGTCGACGGACCGGCACGCCCAGAAAGCCCCCAGCACACCGCCGGACTTCTTGCTGTACCGCCTGCTCTGGCGCGGTGTGGTGGATGTGGGCGGCCGTGTGGTGCTGGGTGTGTGCTCCCCGGTGCTGCTCCATCCCAGGGTCTTCTTCAGACGGCGATAAGGCGGCTGCGCACAGCGGATGTGCTTCAGGCCGAGGAAGATGCGAGCAGGGTCGTCTGGGTCGACAAAGACCACCAGATTGGCCTGCAGATACCGACAGAGGGAGAGAGAAAGAGATGCCCTCTGTGTCTGTGTGTCTGTCCCTGTGTGTGGCTCTGACCTTGAGTTCGTCCGCCTTGCCGTTGACAGGGTGGCTGATGCTGACACTGAAGCCGTCCGATCCGACCAGCGTGGCGCCGCCTTGCAGCCGACTGATGGCCCAGGCGTCCAACACCAACGGCAGAGGGATGCCTGATTCGCGACACCCAACCACCGACACATACAGTGTTATACACACGGCGCTGTGCAGGAGGGAGGATAAATGTACCTACCTTCCAGTGGTCGTCCCGCCCATGCGTTGAGTATGGCCGAGGCCTCGAGGATCACCTCGTCCTACGTGTTGATGAGCATGGTCGCATCCAGCGTGGCGTCAACGACCCTCTCGCACAGGCTGACCCGCTGCTCGAGCATCGCCTGGGTGCGCTTGCGGTCCGTCACGTCCTGCACAGACACGTGGGCATGCAGAAAGAGAGTGAGGAGAGTTGTGACTTGTCGGGAGGGACTGGTGCTTCTCACCTCGATAGATCCGTACACAGCGGTCGACTCGGAGGACGTTTTGCCCCCGGCACATCTGAGCCAACGCACGCTTCCGTCGGCACGCTCGTACCGGACCTGAGAGGGAAGCACACAGAGGAGGTGATGCTGCATGTGTGTGTGGTGTGTGTGTGTGTGTGTGTGTGTCTTACCACCAGTTTGAATGGTTCCCCCTTGTCTGCGCACTGGAGGATGGCATTCTCAACCAACACACGACTGCACAGCCACAAAATACGTATACACATACGGAAACTGCCACGTCTGCCCCCCACCGTATGGCGTCACTTACTCTTCAGCGACGCACTGCTGCGTCCACATGCCGGCCAGCCTCTCCCGGCATCCTTCAGCCTCCCCCTCCCCCGCCACACGCACCACCACTCCACTGTGCTCGTCCTACACGACCTCTCCTTGCTGCTGTTGATGCTGCGGCTGTGGCTTGTCCCCTGCCGTAGTGTCGCTATCAATAACGGGCAAAAAGACGCGAATGCCCCTGCTGCCCTGCTCGCTGCCAGCGGCCGATTTGCTCGCTGCCGCCAGGTTTGGATTGGCATTGGCATTTGCTTCGCTGCCCGGTGCGCTCACGCGAGGGGTGTTGAGGGTGGTCTCGTTGACTGTGGATGTGTCCCCAGTGTGTAGGAGGGAGGGGACAGATGAGGGCGGGGGCGGTGCGCTGTCGGCTGGGGCGGGGGATGGCTCCTCGGCCACAGGAGGGGGCGCGGTGAGGGCCTCGAGGCCGCTCGTGTGGTAGGAATTGTTGTCGGCCGGGTCCCACTGCCTGATGCCACGAAAGAGAGAGAGAGAGAGAGAGAGAGATGAAGGGATACAGGATGTCGTCGCAACCCTCGCACCGTCACTCCCTCACCCCCTCACACCCACGGCGTACCACGCTGCGACGTTGGCCATGTTGGCAAACATGTGCAGCGCACGCTGGCCATGGTCCTTCTCATGCTTGGCCTGACCGACGCAACACAACACCAGGCAAAATCGATTCGCTCCATCCGTCCCCCCGCCAATCCACCTTCATTTCATAGAAGAGATAGGCTCGGCTGACGTGCTCCACATGACGCGACAGGGCGATGAGAACAAGCCCCAACATCGGCAGAAAACACGAGCTGCCCGTGTCTGACTCATCGTCCGTCGTGACCACCATCTTCATCGCATAATACGCCACAAGATGGCACACCACCAACACGCCAGCCAGGAAAGAGTCGCCCCTGTGTATCACCACAAGCAGCACCAAAATGGCCGCACTCTGATACTCCACAGCGCCACCAGCAAAGGCTGCGTCTGCCGCCGTCCATAGCTTCTGGTGGACCGGCAGAGCCGCCGCCACGACGAGGCACACAGCGTATGTGATGGAAAACTCTGCACGCGAGAGGGGCTGCATGCTGGCCTTGCTGTTGCCGCATGAGACCTGGTACGCCCAGACGAGCGGCCGATGGAAGACGGCATACGCCAACACGAGCAGGGAGAACAGAGAGGGCACAGCCAGCCGGCGCCAGAAGAGATCCGCACGCTCCCTCGCACCCAGGGGGCACATAAGTGAGAAGGCCACGATGGACACCAGCACGGCCACCAGCACACCCAACGTCTTGACAGCCTCGCACGCATCAGCCCGCTTCCTGATGCAGTACTCCCTCTCCAGTGCCGCGTCTGCAAACCGCAGCCGCACACCGGGGAGCCACTTCCACTGCGATTGCAACCCGACAGCCCGCCATCTCGATTCCAGGGTGCATGGCAGCGTCAGCAGGAAGGTCCACAGGTGCGGCGGGAGCGCGGTGCTCTCGCTGCTGTCACGGGACCTGCTTCGCTCCTCGCTGTCCTTCCTGATGAGATCTGTGCGCGAAGAGGATATCAAATGCAGCGGCGTCGGCTTCAGGACCATGTGGGCTGCTTGGCGAAGGAAAGGCCTTTGGGAGGGATGGGAGGCCGGGATGCTGCGAGCCCGACGGCCATCGCATATTTCGTTTCGTCGCATATTGGCAGTTTGCTGTTTGTATTAGCTCAGACGAAATGTCTGACGGTGCGGCAGCAGCCGCACGGTGCGGCAGCAGCTGCCGCACCGGCCGGTGGTGGCAAGAGGAAGTGGTGCCCGTCGGCCTTAGATGAGGACAACGACGTCCGCACCTGGCTGCAGATGGGCAAGGAGCAGATGGAGATCATCCAGGACGCACTCAACCAGACGCTGGCCGACATCAAGCAGCGTGAGCAGGCCCTGGGAGGCCTCCCAGGAGAGATTGTGCCCACGGTAAGGCGCGCCAAATGAAATGGATGAGGGATGTCATGCAGTGGGACCTGATCTGTGCGTGTGGATGGTGCAGGTGCAGCTGATGCGTCAGGAGCTGCACTTCAACGTCTGCGGCGTCTACATGAAGGCGCGCCGTTCCACCCTGTGTGTGCTGCGAGGTAGCGTGTTGGCCACTCTGTGTGGTGGGCGGTTTGACGAGGCGATGATCAAGGACGCCAATGAGCGCTATTTCTTTCCCTTCGCCCCCCTGGCCTTCCAGTGGTCAGCCCGGCCGGCAATCAGGACAGGGCAACTGTCCACCGTCTGTGTGTGTGTCCTTCAGGCTCATCGGCGAGTTAGCTTTGTACGAGGTTGGGGATGTGGACGACATCACGCTGCCCGACACCAAACAGAACGATGCCACATTCAGGTGCGTATGCACCGACACGCATGCCATTGGCGCATTGTGTTATCCATCCATCTGTGTGTATGGTGCTGGTGCAGCTACTGGGTGGAGTACCTGACGGCCAATCCCTCACGAAAACGCCGCGCGATGCACGTCTGCATCCCGCCCATCACGCAGGACAACCCACATCAGCAGCAGCACGACGGGCAGGGTGAGGGTGAGAATGAGCAGCCGGACGTCGACCCCGAGTCTGTGGCGGCCCAGCTGCCCGAGATCATTCGCAAGGCCATGGCGGAGAAGACGTGCGAGCACCAGAGGCTCACGGCCATCAAACTACTACTCAAATCGGGCTACCAGGCCGACGATGCGGTAACCTTATACAACACAGCATAGAGAGAGGGCTCGTGGCCAGTGGGTGGATCCATGTGTGTGTGTGTGTGCGTATGTGTGTTCAGTTGGTGTCGATTGACGTGTTTGGTACGACAGTGACCATCACCATGGCCGTGGCAAAGTCACTGGGCGACGACTCGACCTTCGCAAATCGATTCATCAAGTACACACAATGACAACCCAATGGCCAGAGCACACATAGCCATCCCTGCCACGAATGTGTGTGTCAGGTATGACCCCTCTGTGATGACGGTACCGGTGGACTACGTGCGGCGCGTCGCCGACATCGTCACGCGGGCGTACGTCAGGGGCACGGACATCACGGCCGAGGACGTGCAGAGCTCCCGGGGCGACACCAATGACAAGGCCTTCCGGAATGCGTTGAACATGTAAGCAAACCGACATGGAGCCCTGCGCATGTGTGCATCCTCGTGCGGTCCCCTGGCCTGGCTGCAGGTACGGTTTGGATAGCGATCGCTATTTGGGCCCCGCAGATGGCCTGCTGACCACCGAGCACCTGCACAAGATGCGGCAGTGGTGTGAGGGCGAGGAGGACGCCCCCGCCAGCATTCCCCCGTGTGTGGGCGAGCCGGTCGTCTACGTATACAAGTGAGAAGGGCAGGCCAGACAGATGTGAGCATGACGGCACTCTCTCATCATGCCTCTGTGTCTTGATGTGTGTGTGTGTCGTGGCAGGGCGACTGTGGATGGTTGGAAGTGGTTGGATTTCTTCGATGCCGTCAAGGGCCACTCTTCCCTGCTGCTCATCTCCAAAGTGGCCGACAGCAATGAGCTGTTCGCCATCATCATCGAGGGGCCCATCGAGGTCACCGGCACGGCCAACAGCCGCAGCGACACGGTGTCCTTCGCCTTCAAGCTGCGGGGGAAAGACAGCCACCCATACGTGGGCTACATCGGCTGGGACAAGATGGACATCGCGGGCACACAGGTGGGTATTCACCAGAAAGAGCCAGGCAGTCCTGATCATGGTCTCTCTTCCATCCATGTGCGCAGGAGAAAGTCACCGAGCTCATCGATTACTCTTCGCCCGACTCTGATGTGATGGCCGTCCTCAACACGGCATGCCTCGACTTCGGTATCCGTCCGGCTGCCCAGGTGATCGGCGCACCAGCAGCGGCAGCTGACGAGAGCATGAAACGGTGCCAGGGAACCATCCTGGAGGACGACCAGCCCGACGAGTGGCGCCAGTGGGAGCGGCTGAGTTTCAAGCCGAGCGACCACTACTGGGGCGATGAGGATGACCGAGTGTTCCTGCCTGTCTCAGTGAAGGGATGGCACTTTGACGTCAGTGAGTTAGAGGCATACAAGCTGACATGAGCGAGGGAGGGTGACGGCGGGCTGGCAAGCGTGACGGATAGAGGGACGGGGAAAGGGGTACTGTAGCCAAACTGTCCATCTGACTCGGGGCGCGTACGTGTGTGAAGTATGTGTGTGTTGATGATTCCACCGACACGAGTGACTTCAGTTATTGGTCGCGTGAAGAGTCCATTACATTCAGCGATGCACACGAGGTAAATATATACAAGACCGTCATCACATCATCCCAGCCCGTCATCTGTTCAAATGAACAGGCGGAGACGGTTGTATGAACTCCCTTCGCCATTCAGACACACTATCCCGCCATGCCATGAGTTGCTGCCCGCACTATGAATGCCCCCATCCATCCATTCATCCATCCCCTGACACCTTCCACTCACTGGTCGTCCCCCATTTGTTGCTGCTGCTCGTCGTTGTCGTCGCCGTCAATCATATCGCCAGCAGGCTCCTTCCGCTCTCCCCAGTCAGCGTACATGCCGTCCTCGTCCATGAAGCCCTTCACACACACAACCACACACACACTCACGAATGAATACACGTGGATGACATCCATCCATGGGTGTGTATGTGTGTGTCTCTTCCCGCTTACCTCATCTAGGTCGTCGCCCCAGCCGTCCTCAGCGTCGTCCTCATCCAGGAAATCCTGCACACACACACGCACACGCACATATACAAAACAAACAGGAGGCAGGAAAAAAGTGACTGAATCATCATGTGTGTGCATGTGTGCCCGCCCCTCCCTCCCTCCCTCCCTCCTGACCTCATCGATCTCGTCCTCCTCATCTAGCTCGTCGCCCCCCGAGCCATCGACATCCCATAACTCCTCACCCCACACGGCACCGGGCCGCCCCCTCTCACTCATCCCCTCCCACCCACCTATCCTCTGCACCAGACGCTGGCCTCCCCCGGCCCCACCCACCACCACATTGCCATCGAACTCGCACTCGAACGGCTTCCCATTGCCGAATCCCCTGACGATGTGGGGCAGCTCATAGTGCCGACCCTCCTCACACCGGATCAGGTGGACCACGTCACGGACGCCATACACAACGCCCTCGTCTACCTGCCCGCCCTCTGCCTCCCCCCGCCGCTCGACCTGGCTGTCTGATGTGTCTGTGTGTGTGTTGTGTGGGGTGACGAAGGCAGTGTGGCGAAACAGACGCCGCCTCACAGAGGGGCTGGCCACATTGTATGCACGAGAGAGGAAAAAAGACAGCGCCGCATTGAGCCGTCGCCCGAGTGGCGTGCGCTCTGAGAAGGGGAGAGGGGGAGGCTCTATGTATGAGGCAATCTGACAGCACAGCACACCCACACGAAACACGCGATGGGAAGCCGACAGGGCAGACAGAGTGCGCAGAGGGTTCAGGGATGTGTTGATGTGGCGCATGGCGTGTGTGGGGACAGAGCGATTGACATACGAGTGATACACCGACAAAATGCGGTGCCTCTCTCTGGCTGTTGTGGATGTGTCTGTGTGCGTGGTGTGTGGGTATGAGTATGTCAGTGCTCTGTCTACGGATGCCCCCAGATGGATCAGATGATGCGCCGCAGTGTGGTGGCCTCCCCTCACCAGTGCGCCAAGGGGCGGCAGTCGCCCAACACCATCTACGTCAGCCCCTGCCTCATCCACCAGCCATGTCATGACATCCACATCCCAGTGAGCAACAGAGAGTGTCTCGCTGTCAGCCGTCACCCCCTGCCGCCTCACCAGCCAATACATGATGGCCCTATTCTGACTCGCTACGGCGCTATGCAGCGCCCCACTGCCCCTTGCACCCTCCAGCTCCCGCCCCATGCCCTCCACGATCTTCTCGAGAATGGCAATGTGGACGTCCGTGTGGCCACCATGCGCCGCATCCCCCTGCTGCTGCTGCTCATCTGGTGGCTGGTTCTCCTCCTCTCGGAAGTGGCACTCACACGCCTCGTTGAGGGCCGAGTTCCCGTAGAGGCTGGGTGGTGTGGGTGCCGCTGCTGCGGCAGTGGTCAGCCGAGTGACGACCTCCAGGCACTCCGTGGCGGAGATGCGCTGGGTGCCGCCGCGCGTGGCGTCACTGGTAAAGACCGATGTCAGCGCACCACTGCCTCCGTAGCAACATGTCGCGCCGTGCCTCAGGAGGGTCTCGATCATGGGAAGGAGGGCCGACAGCTGAGTGGGGTCTGCATGGTTGAGGCGGTCCAGCAGGAAGTCCAGGGGTCTCTTGCTGGTGAGAAGGAGGTGCAGCGCTCGCCCTGGGCTGCGGCTGGTGTAGTCCATGTCGGCTCCGGCGCCAATGAGGCACCGCAGCATCGCGGCACCATCCTCTCCGACGCATCTGTCGGCGGCCAGATGTAGCAGAGAGTCCCAACGGTTGAGGGCAGCGTCGTAGTACCGCCCGTTGGGGTCGGCCTTCTGCTGCGTCAGCAGCTGGGCCGCTACGGCAGGGGACAGGGAGCCATGGTGGATGCCGAATGCCAACTGTTTGGTGGGCGAGCAAAGGCTGGCGCTCCGCCGCGTGAGAGGGTCACGGGGAACGGCTCGCCGGGCTGCTGCTGGTGCACCTCAGAGTCAGACATCGCCAGATCGAGTCGACGAAGCCATCAGGTGGAAGCGCGACTGCTGCAGACAAAGACGCCCAGGGACAAGAAAGGGGATATCAGTCTGCCTGGCTGCCTTCTCACTTGTGTTCTATGCGCATCACAGGCGGGCATCATGACGCCATGTGCGAGTGGGCGTGCCGGCACGCCTCGCCGCTATCAACTGCAAGCGGACACGCCAACAACACACAGCGCATGAATGAATGAATGAATGAGTGAATGAATGAATGTGCGCTTCTTTTGTTCCAATGGCACACAGATGCTTACTGTGTTGGGCTACCGGACTTCCCCGTCCCCATTGCGAGCTGAGATCTCTCCTCTTCCCGGATTGACCGCGGCGCTGCCAGCGGAGCAGTCGAGCAGCGATAGAGGCAGTGATCTTCAACGCTACTGTGACGCCATGGTAAGCGCTGGAGTAAGGACACACACAGAGATCAGGCAAAAGGAGAACAGAAACGGAGGGAGGGGTCAGGCACGTCGGAGGGGGCGGGACGGTATCGAGAGAGGAACAGACAGACACTGACACCATAGGCGGGCGGCGTGTGCCCTCTGTTTGTAGTTTTGTTGATTGTGTGCTTTGGATGTCTGTCTGTGTGATGTCTCTGCAGGGCGCGTGAGTGATGGCCGCCACTGCACACGGCCAGCGGCCACAGTGGGTCGAGGACGTCGACATCGTCGACGTCTTCTGGACCACACCGGTCGGGACCACACCGGGCACCACGGACGCGAGCAGACGGCTGGTGGAGGGTGTCGTCCGCCGGACCTTCACCCGCCATCAGCAAGTGACGGACCTCATACAGCGCCGTGGCGCCGACCCGAACACTGGAGCCCAGCTGCGGGTGCGGGGCAGCACTGTCACGTATGGCTATGCTGCGGGTGCGGTGCTCTCGCTCGTTATTGACAACTTCAGCGACAACACAATGCCGACTGTCGGGGCAGCTGACGATCTGAGACCACCTGTGACGGGTTCCTTTCTTGTGCGGGGCGTGGCGCTCCCCCGATGGCCATCTCGTGAGCTGGAGGCGGCCATCATGAACGCGCTTATCGACGGCGGCGCCGACATCAATGCGCCGAGTCATTTGGACGGGAGGCCCATCAGAGTGGCCATTCGGGCTGGCAATGAGGGGGCCCTGAGCGTCCTCTTGGCGCGCAACGCTGCGGTGCGCTGGTATGCCGCTGGTGATGACGCCCACGTCATGGGGCTGCCCATCACCATCGCGTACCAGTGCACCGCAGCGTCCCCCGCCTATGAGCAGCGGCTGCTTTCAGTATACCGTCGGCTCCTCGAACACGACCCCACACTCGCCGTGCAGGACGGGCCGGCAACTCTGATCCACTCGGCAGCGCAGGACGAGCTAGGGAAGTATTCCCAGACCTTCATCGACTCATATTTGGACCTGCTGGTGGCCCACGGGGCGAATCCGATGGCGACTACTAATGGATGGACGGCTCTTCACGATGCTGCCTTTGGAAATCGTCAGCACCCTGCTCATGTCAATGACCTCGTGGATGATGGTCTTGTCGACAGCTCCCCCTGCGTGGCCGATTATGTGGGGCGCCACGTGACTGCTGAATTCGTCAACAGAGAGATAGAACCAGGCAGCGGCGATACGGCGCTCTCTTTCGCCGCCGAAGAGCTCAATACGGCGATTGCGTTCTCGCAAGACGACGATATGGACCAAGAGACCAGGGACCTAGCCACCTACAAGATGTCCCTTCACGAGGCCACCATCCGCAGCTTGCTGAGATGCGGGGCGGACATCAGCCTCATGCCCACAGACACCGAAGAGAAACGCTGCGATCGCCAAGTGGTGCTGCCCCAGTACACAGCGGTGCTCAACGACGTGCCCGCTGCGGCGATGGCCGTAGTGAACGCGGCGCTGCGGCCGCAGCGCTCGCTGGCCGCCCTGCTGACGCACCTGCTGCCCCTCGTGGCGCACAACGACGGCGAGGACCCCGCCCCCTCGCCCCTCGCATTCGGACCACACGAGTCTGCCGCCATCGGCTGGAAGATCGCCGCTTTCTGCCTCGACATGGAGGCCGCCAACGAGACCATCACCCGCATTCTGACCGTCCGCAACAGCGACGTCGGCCGCCGTGTGCGTGGGGCGGTCGGGCACTTCGTCAAGTCGGCGCTGAGGGCGAGCGGCAAGCAGGAGGTGGTGGGCGGGACGCGATATCAACAGCAGGGCGACATGCGCGTCAAGGTGACCGTCCCGCCCCTGCAGTGCTTCGCCGTTTGTGGCAGGGGGCAGGTGGTGCTGACGGGTCTGCGTGAGGTGGTGCACCGGGCCCGGCTTGAGGAGGCGGCGCGATACGGCATAGAGGAGGGCGCCATCGCCAAGGGCTTCAACGAGCACCTGGAGAATGCCGACTGCCAGTTCCCGTGGCACCAGCTGGGGCGCGTCGACGGGCGGGGACGATTCGTGACCCTTGACTCAAACTGAGGAGGCCGGGGGGGAGGGGGGGAGGGGGGCATGGGGCATTTTGAGCTGCCGACTCTTCGTGTGAGAGGCTGGCACAAGCCGATGCCATCAGAGGAAGCGAGGCCTCAGAGAGAGAGGGAGGAACGCCTGTAGTCGGGCAAGAGTGACGTCTGTGCGGATGCTCAGTTATTGAATGTGACTCAACTCCACATGGGTGCTCGCACACAGGTCCGTTCATTGACATGAGTCGACACTTCTTTCACGCGCACCCATCCTCGCCAATTATTATCACACACAGCCACCTTGCGACACCAAATACACGGGCATCGCAGCAGGACATCCCATCGCCTACAAATGCTTCCTGCGGTCACTGGAACGGCGGATCACCCATCCTTGAGAGCTCGCGGCGATCGTCTGGCAATTAGTAGCCGTACAAAGGTCGCTTTGGCGCCATGGCTGCGGCAGCGGCTGCCAGCGGGGCAGGCGAGAAGCGAAAGCGGCCGAACGGCAGCGATGGCGATGAGGATGAGTGCGGCCATCTGCGTGAGGCCATCGAGCAGGCCCTATCCATCGCCGAGAAGCTGCGCGAGATTGAGAATGGCCTCATCCAGCGAGAGCGGGCCATCGGCGGCACGGCAGATACCAGCGAGCCATCCGTAAGAGGCCCAGACGCGGAAGGCAGGGAAGCCCTGAAACGCGGTTTTGTGCGTTGCTGTGTGTGTGTGTGTGTGTATTGTCGTCAGGCCGAGCGGATGCGTGACATGTTAGCGTTCAACGTGGCCGGGGAGATTGTGAAAGCCCGCCGTTCAACTCTGTGCGCCGTCAAGGGGACCGTCATTGCACTGCTGTTCTCGGGCCGCTTCGATGATGCCTTCGTTCGTGACAAGGACGAGCGCATCTTCCTTCAGATGTTTCCTGATGCCTGGAAGTGGTACGCAGATGTCATGACTGTGGATGGCCATGCGTCGATCTCACACTGCCCCCTCTGTGTGTGTTTGTGTGCGCGTTCCGTTGTCCAGGTTGGTCGGGAAGCTCAACACATATGTCGGCGTGCAGACCATCGACACCATCGTCATACCGCCCTCCAGACAGAACGATACGCCATTCAAGTGAGTGGGCCACACCAACTGACACACGGCAGGCTGTCTGTGTTGCCATGGATCCCATTGTGTGGTGTGGTGTGGTGTGGTGTGTTTGGTCTCGTTCAGGTACTGGGTTGAGTTGCTTATGTCGGACCCCGGCTACAAACGGCGCGCGAACCGTGTGCAGATCCCACTCCTCACTCAAGACCAGCAGCAGCAGCAGGGGGAGGGAGGGCAGGAGCAGCAGGACAGCGATGCTGAGGCCCTCTGTGTGGAGCTGCCCAGTATGATCAGGAGGGCCAAGGATGCCAGGGACGCCCAGATGGAGCGCCTCGAGGCCATCAAACCCCTGCTCAAGACGGGCGATAGCGAGGAGGATTCGGTAAGCCGACGACACACAGGGAGAAAGGTGGGAGAAGGGGTCGTCACTCACTCATGTGTGCTGTCCTTGCTGTGCCCTTCGATGTCAGTTGGTGTCGATTGAGGTGTCGGGTGCCACTGTGACGGTGACCAAGGGCGTAGCCACGTCGCTCGGCGCCGACTCGACATTCGCGAATATGTTCACCAAGTGAGCCGCTCTCACACACACATGCATCGGGTGCCATGCTGTCTGTGTGTGTGTCAGGTATGATCCCGATAGTCATGAGGAAGATCCCGAGTACGTCCGGCGCATAGTGGACGTGGTGGCGAGATCGCACATGAAGGGGACGGCCATCAAGGCGGTCGATGTGCCTGCCGAGTATGTGCGCGGGGCGGTGGGCGAGACCGACCTCAAAGGATTCCGACACGCACTCACCATGTAGGCGCGGCGACAACACACAGAGCTGCTCACCACACAGTGCCCCGACGGCTGCTCTCTGTCTGTCTGTGTTGGTTTGTGTCAGGTACGGTTTGGATAGCGATCGCTATTTGGGGCCTGCAGATGGCCTGCTGACCACCGACCACCTGCACAAGATGCGGCGTTGGTGTGAGGGCGAGGAGGACGCCCCGGCCAATATCCCCTCGTGTGTGGGCGAGCCGGTCGTTCGCATGTACAAGTGAGAAGGGCAGGCCAGACAGATGTGAGCATCACGGCATCCTCTCATCATGCCTCTGTGTCTTGATGTGTGTGTGTGTGTCGTGGCAGGGCGACTGTGGATGGTTGGAGGTGGTTGGACTTCTTCGATGCCGTCAAGGGCCACTCCCCCCTGCTGCTCATCTGCAAAGTGGCCGACAGCAATGAGCTCTTCGCCAGCATCATCGAGGGGCCCATCGAGGTCACCGGACCTGCCGAGAGCACCCACAACACGATATCATACGCCTTCAAGCTGCAGGGGACAGACAGCCACCCATACGTGGGCTACTTCGGCCGGAACAGCAACATGTACATCGCGGGCACACAGGTGGGTACTCATTAGAATGAGCCCAGCAGTCATGGTAATGGTCCCGTCCCTCTATCCATGTGTGCAGGAGAGACTCACCGACTTCATCGATTTCTCTTCGCCCGACTCTGAGCTGACGGCCGTCCTCTACGCTACATCTCTCTTCTTTGGCATTCGTCCGGCCGCCCAGCTGATCGGAGCACCAGCAGCAGCCAGCGACGAGATCATGAAACGGTGCCAGGGAGTCACGTTTGAGGAGAATCAGCCGGACGGGTGGCGGCAGTGGGAGCGGCCGACTGTGAGGCCAAGCGACCACGGCGGTGGCGATGACCGAGTGTTCCTGCCTGTCTCAGTGAAGGGATGGCACTTTGACGTCAGTGAGCTAGAGGCATACAAACTGGCGTGAGCGAGGGAGGGTGACGGCCAGCGTGACGGATAGAGGGACGGGGAGAGGGGTACTGTAGCCAAATGGTCCATCTGACTCGGGGCGCGTACGTGTGTGAAGTGTGTGTTGATGATTCCCCTGACACGAGTGACTTCAGTTCGTCGCGTACCTGAGTGCCTGGAGAGTACCTGCCTGTCTCAGTGGAGGGATGGCATTCCGACATTGATGAATTCGAGGCATGTCAGCTGGCATGAGGGAGGGAGGGAGGGAGGGGGGAGGGACAGTAGTGTGTGGTGTGTGCTTGTATTCGTGACGAGGCCGTGGCTTCCCATCTAGTTGTACAGTTGACAATCGCTGCGCATGGCCTCCAGCAGCTTGAGGTGACTGCTGTGTGCCGGAGGGGCATTGACTTGACCGATTAGCATGCCATGCAGCGTACCGTCCACACACACTCACTCTCAGTATGTTATGTACACCGATGGTCTCACTGACTGACTTGACAGGCACGACCGCACAAGCCACCCACCCACATGTGTCTGTCAGCGCACCGCATAGCATCAAGATGGTATGTCGGCCGGTCAGTCTTTGACGTATGCGGCTGTGAATTTGGCCGGGGCGAACTGGACGAGCCACTCGCCCTCGACGGCCGTCACTGTCTTGATGTAGAGCTTCTTGCCCACACCCGTCTGGAAGAAGTCGTTGTACACCACCCACCTGAACGAACGACACAGACACACACACACACGGGGAGGGAGAGATGGGGCGAGGCGGATGTGGAGGGATGGATGGATTGCCGCCCACCCTGGTTGTGTAGTCTTACTGTGGGAGGCTTTGTCGTTCGACGAGCACCGATGTGGGATGCACGTGGACCTCCTGACGGCCGTACTGCAGCCACCCCATCCAGGCCCCCCCCCCCC